CACAATCCCGGTGCTGGAGTCTATTCTATTCAATTCTATTGAAAACTCAATGGGAAGATTGGAAGAGCTCAAATGAGGGAAATATGGCTTGCGAAATCCTTTATCACCGAAGTCTGCCATCCAGTCCCACATTTGGCCCAGGTTGCTGAACTGAACTAGATGAGTCGGAGCCTTGGCCCATCTAGTTCAGGTCTCCGGGGATTCTTTCCTAGCCATGTTGGGATTCCCTGGTGGCCTTGTGATAAATATGATGTGTGGTTTGAATTAAATGATTTGAAAGCCGTATGACTTAGGCCTATATAATTCCATTTATAGTTTTCCTAAGTCTGAGGTCTGGAAAGCTACAAATGGAGGTGCAGAATTCATGAACTGCGGAACTGCTGACATGACCAGAGACAATGATTAACTCTTGGGTTGAAAAGAACATGCTAATATAGTCAAATGCACCTTGAATTGGGAACGGAAACTTATTGCAAGCCAGTGGAACTACAACTACAAAACCAAAGGACACTGCCCACCAAACCCTTCTAGTGTTTTCTGTTAGTCATGGGAGAACTGTGTGCCAAGTTTGATTCAATTCCATCATTGGTGGGGTTCAGAATGGTCTTTGATTGTAGGTGAAGTATAAATCCCAGCAACTACAACTCCCAAATGACAAAATCAATTTTTTGAGTGAAGGACATACATTGGGTTGTTAGGTGTCTTGTGTCAAATATTGGTGTCAATTCGTCCAGTGGTTTTTGAGTTCTGTTAACCCCACAAAGGAACATTACATTTTTATTTATATAGAAGTGTGGGTTTTTGGGTTTTTTTGTTTGTTTTTTTGCACTGCAAATAAGATATGTGCAGTGTTTTTTCCAAATTATAATCCGGTCCTCCAACAGTTTGAAGGACTGTGACCTGGCCCTCTGTTCAAAAAGTTTGGGGACCCCTGCATTAGACCCTGTATTGTCTACTCCTGATATATAATTCTGGAGCTGGAAGAGATCTCCAAGGGCAACCCAGTCCCACACTCTGCCATGCAAGAAGGCACAATCAAAGCACTTCCAATAGACAGCCTCTGCTGAAAAGCCTCCAGAGAAGGAAACTCCACCACACTCCAAGGCAGCCTATGCCACCCTCCAACAGCTCTTCCTAATCTTTTCAGTCGAATCTCTGTTCCTGCATTTGAAACCATTGCTCCATTGTGTCCTGGTCTCTAGAGTAGAAGAAAGTCAGTTTCTGCCCTCCTCCTCCTCTCGTCTTCCTGGAATATTGTGTCCAATTCTGGGCACCACAATTCAAGAGAGATATTGACAAGCTGGAATGTGTCCAGAGGAGGGCAACTAAAATGATCAAGGGTCTGGAGAACAAGCCCTATGAGGAGCGGCTTAAGGAGCTGGGCATGTTTAGCCTGAAGAAGAGAAGGCTTAGAGGAGATATGATAGCCATGTATAAATATGTGAGAGGAAGCCACAGGGAGGAGGGAGCAAGCTTGTTTTCTGCTTCCCTGGAGACTAGGACGCGGAACAATGGCTTCAAACTACAAGAGAGGAGATTCCATCTGAACATGAAGAAGAACTTCCTGACTGTGAGAGCCGTTCAGCAGTGGAACTCTCTGCTTTGGAGTGTGGTGGAGGCTCCTTCTTTGGAAGCTTTTAAACAGAGGCTGGATGGCCATCTGTCAGGGGTGATTTGAATGCAATATTACTGCTTCTTGGCAGGGGGTTGGACTGGATGGCCCATGAGGTCTCTTCCAACTCTTTGATTCTATGAAGAGGGAAGGAGGGTGGAAAGAGGGAGGGAAGGACAAAAGGGTGGAAAGAAAGGAAGTATGGAAGGAGAAAGAGGGAGGTAAGGAAGGAAGGGGATGGAAGGAAGGATAGGATGGTGAGAGAGGAGGGCTGCTTGTTCCGTTTCCAAAACCAGATCAGGGATGTTCAGAGGATGGAACTGTCAACCAGCACCCACCTTCTTGCTGAGGACCAAGACCTGCTCCATGGGAAGGTAATCCATGTGGAAGACAAAGCGCCAGTTGAAGTTGCCTTCTCCCGATAGAGACCTGTAATGGACATCTGTCTTCTGCATGTCCTCTTCCAAGCCATCCAGCCACCTGGGAGAAAGGCCAAGGAGATGTTGCTGTCAATTAGCGATCTTTCTGGGATGAGTCCAATTTGGAGATTCCACTCCAGAAATTGCAGTCCATCCTGGTGTAGTAGAGCCTCAGCTTAAACGGCTCAGTGCCTCGGCCTGCATGCCTTTGCCTGCGTGCTCTTCTCCGCTTTGGGAGCTTGCTGTCCAGTGAGGAAATTTGGGTTAGTTCACTTGTGTGCTTTTTCTTCCTGATACTGTCTGCTTCAAGAAGAGATGGGGGGAGAGAAGAGAGGGAGGGGGGTGGCTAGAATTACAGTATGAAGAAAATGATGCTGTTTTGCCTTGCTGTATACTGGCCAAAACACAATGTGTTGCCTCAAATGTGCCTCCTTGCTGGATGGAACTGTCTATCTCTGAACATTTTATATATTTTCTTATTTTAAACTACATTAAAATTGGGATGGGTTTTGGGAGGTCATTTCAATGCATTTCAAAGGGAAAATTCACTTTGTGATAAGAATGTTTTGACTTAAAAACATGATCACAGAGTGAATTAAATTCATAAGTCAAGGTATCATGCTAGTAGCTTGAGGAAAGTGGTTCCAGACTTTCATGACAGCTGAAGCCATGAATATCTCCCGGCTTAACAGATCAGAGAGATGATGGACCAAAACTAACAAAATGAAGCTCAACAGGGACAAATGTAAGATACTCCACTTAGGCAGGAAAAAAAATGAAATGAAAAGATACAGAATGGGGAATGCATGGCTAGAGAGAAGTACGTGTGAAAAAGATCTTGGAGTCCTCATGGACAATAAGTTAATCATAAGCCGACAATGTGATACAGCAGCAAAAAAAGCCAATGGGATTTTGGCCTGCATCAATAGGAGTCTAGTGTCTAGATCCAGGGAAGTCATGCTACCCCTCTATTCTGCCTTGGTCAGACCACACCTGGAATCATACTGTGTCCAATTCTGGGCACCACAATTAAAGGGAGACGTTGACAAGCTGGAATGTGTTCAGAGGAGGTTGACTCAAAGGATCAAGGGTCTGAAAACAAGCCCTATGAGGAGCAGCTGAAATTGCTGGGCATGTTTAGCATGAAGAAGAAAAGGCTGAGAGGAGACATGATGAGAGGGCCATGGATCAAGATGGGAGGGGAATATGTCATAGGGAGGAGGGAGCTGCTGCCCTGGAGACTAGGATGCAATGGAACAATAGCTTCAAACTACAGGAGATTCTACCTGAACAAGAGGAAGACATGAGCCAACAATGTGATGTTCAAGCCAATGGGATTTTGGCCTGCCTCAATAGGAGCATAGTGTCTAGATCTAGGGAAGTCATGCTACCCCTCTATTCTGCTTTGGTTAGACCACACCTGGAATATTGTGTCCAATTCTGGGCACCACAATTCAAGAGAGATATTGACAAGCTGGAATGTGTCCAGAGGAGGGCGACTAAAATGATCAAGGGTCTGGAGAACAAGCCCTATGAGGAGCGGCTTAAGGAGCTGGGCATGTTTAGCCTGAAGAAGAGAAGGCTGAGAGGACATATGATAGCCATGTATAAATATGTGAGAGGAAGCCACAGGAGGAGGGAGCAAGCTTGTTTTCTGCTTCCCTGGAGACTAGGACGCGGAACAATGGCTTCAAACTACAAGAGAGGAGATTCCATCTGAACATGAGGAAGAACTTCCTGACTGTGAGAGCCATTCACCAGTGGAACTCTCTGCCCCGGAGTGTGGTGGAGGCTCCTTCTTTGGAAGCTTTTAAACAGAGGCTGGATGGCCATCTGTCAGGGGTGATTTGAATGCAATATTCCTGCTTCTTGGCAGGGGGTTGGACTGGATGGCCCATGGGGATCTCTTCCAACTCTATGATTCTATGATTCAACAGTGGAACTCTCTGCCCATTCTCTTTAAGCTAAACATGCTCAGCTCTTTAAGCCGCTCCTCATAGGGCTTGTTTTCCAGACCCCTGATCCTTTGAGTTGCCCTCTGCTGGACACATTACAGTTCAGAGTAAACACCTCCCTTCAATTGCGTGGCCTAGAATTGGACACAGTGTGATTCATGTGTGGTCTGACCAAGGAAGAATAGAGCATGGGGAGCATGACTTCCCTGGATTTAGAGACTAGACTTCTAATATGCAGAACAAAATCCCATTGGCTTTTTTGCTGCAGCATGACACTATTGACTCATGTTCACCTTCCTCCCCGAGAGGACTGCAAGATCATTTTCACACTTTTTTTTTGTCGTGTCAGGAGCTACTTGAAAAACTGCAAGTCGCTTCTGGTGTGAGAGAATTGGCCGTCTGCAAGGATGTTGCCCAGGGGACGCCTGGATGAATTGATGTTTTATCATCCTTGTGGGAGGCTTCTCTCATGTCGCCGCATGAGGAGCTGGAGCTGATAAGAGGGAGCTCATCCACCTCTCCCCGGATTCGAACCTGCAACCTGTCGGTCTTCAGTCCCGGCGGCACAGGGATTTAACCCACTGCGCCACTGATTGGTGTCAAGCCAGGCATCATCCCCCATTCTGTCTCTTGTCATTTCCTTTTTTCTGCCTAAGTTGAGTATCTTGCATTTGTCCCTGTTGAACTTCATCGTGTTTGTTTTAGCCCATCATATCTGTTAAAGATCATTTTGAATTCTGCTCCTGTCTTCTGAGGCTATCCCTTCCAATTTGGTGATGCCTGCAAACTGATGATTGTGCCTTCAAACCCTTCATCTAAGTCATGATAGACTATGTCATTTCCCATTTACCCTTTGACATAAATATCACTCATCCTGTCTCCAAAAATATTGGTGTCTTCCAAGTCCACGTCTTTGGTGTTCCAGATGATGACACGCAGTTCATACCTAGAAGGAAGTAGAGAAGTAGGTAAGTCTGGATATTGAGAAGCGTTTTTGGATCACCTCTCAACAAAAGATTGCTCCAGGCACTTCCAGGCTCTCAAATGCTAATCAAGGTGGTCAGTTGAAACATTCACACCTCGCTCCAGCAGACAAGAGCCCTTTGTCCCACCCTGGTCATTCCACAGATATATAAACCCATTTTCCTAGTTCCAATAGACCTCACTACCTCTGAGGATGCTTGCCATAGATGCAGGCGAAACGTCAGGAGAGAATGCCTCTAGAACATGGCCATATAGCCTGAAAAAACCTACAACAACCCAGTTTTTGGAGAGTTCTCCCCAACCTTCAATGTCTTCTGGCCTTCCCACTCACTCTAAACATCGCTAAGTTTTAAGAAGATTTAAGACTGCACTTACATTAGTTTGCAGCAAACAACAACCAAAAATGCCATTTGCCACCAACATTGTAACTGTACTGAAGATAAAGAAATTTTGGGAAAGTCATCTTTTTGGTGTGTATTCTCTATCAGTTTAGTTTAATGGGGGATGAGGGAAGAGCCACCATTAATTTTTGTGCTATGCAGTTTTTAGTTGGTAAATGTGCCGTCACACCCAGACACTATAAAAATAAAACTAAGATGTGCTTCTCTCTTTATCTGGGCGAACTGCGGATGTCTTTCTTAAAAGCTTGAGATTCCCAGCAACTGAGGCTACTACAGGTTTTGAACATCAAAACAGAATATTTATTTCTCAAAGTCCTTGCAGACTTGGCACAGCTTGTCAAAGTTACAAACAAAACAGTCAATTGGTGAAACCATAGAGATGTTCTTCCTTTCCTTTTTCCTCTAGTCGTTGAGTTGCCTTCCTCCAAATGGTAGAAAAAATCCTGAGATCTTTTTCCCCCAACCCTGAGCTACTATCTTTTAGAAAACGCAGGCCTTCCCCTATTCCAGCCCAAGGTTAGTTTTGGAGATGAAGCAAATAGTGCTCAATAACTATCTCAATAGCCCTCAATAACTATCTCAATAGTCCTTTATACTAAACTAGCTATCCCCTGCCACGCGTTGCTGTGGCCCAGTTTGTTGATCTGGGAAATAAAGTAATGAGAAAGTTGGTTTCTAATATGAGTAATTTCTTTCTGCTTGTGGGTAAACAGTATTTCTTGCTGTTTCTTTGTCAGTGTTGATGTGGAGAGTGTCTGGTTTGCCCACTGTGGAACATGGAACATATCGTTGTCCTTCTTCAGGGGTCCCTTTCAAATCTATGATACTATATCTCTGTGTGTGTGAATCATATCTATCTATCTATCTCTATGGCTGAATGGCTCTTTGTCAGGTGGACTTTGATTACGTTTTCTTGCCCTGGTGAAGGGAGTTGGACTGGGTGGCCTTAAGTATTTTCTGTTGGTTGTGGGGGCTCTGTGTAGGAAGTTGCCCCGATTCTGTCGTTCGTGGGGTTCAGAATGCTCTTTGATTGTAGGTGAACTGTGAATCCTAGTGGCTACAACTTCCAAATGTCAAGGTCTATTTCCCCCAAACTCCATCTGTGTTCATATTTGGGCATATTGAGTCTTGTGCCGAGTTTGGTCCAGATCCATCATTGCTTGAGTCCACAGTGTTCTCTGGATGTAGATGAACTACAACTCCCAAACTCAAGGTCAATGCCCACCAAACCCTTCCAGTATTTTCTGTTGTCATGGGAGTTCTGTGTGCCAAGTTTGGTTCAATTCCATCATTGATGGAGTTCAGAATGCTCTTTGATTGTAGGTGAACTATAAATCCCAGCAACTGCAACTCCCAAAATCATAATTTTTTGAGTGATGGTCACTCCTTGTGTTGTGAGACGTTTTATTGCCACATTTGGTGTGATTTCGTTCATTGGTTCTTGTTTTTAAGGTACTCATTACGCACAGAACATTTATATATAGATAAGATAGCTCAAAATCTCAATATGCTTCTCTATAGCTCAATACCTATCTATCTATAACTCAATTACCTATCTGTCTCTCTCTCTCTCTCTCTCTATCTATCTATCTATCTATCTATCTATCTATCTATCTATCTATCTATCTATCTATCTTCTGTCTATCTCTATCTCAGTTAAGACTCAATTAAGACTCGATTAACCTTTCTACATCTCAGTTGCTATCTATAACTCAATAGTACTTACAATGATTTTTTTCAGAGCTCCCTGACTGGCCTAACACCACATCTGAGGCTTTTCTCTGAAACTGAAGGAGGCAAGGGAGATTCCAAAATCGAGATCTCAAGCCCAGGAAAAAGGGCAGACTCCTAACCCAAAGAGATACTTTCTAAACCAATAGCTGCAAAAAGGCCTGCAGGCTGGCTTTCCAGCCTCTGATGCTGTTAACTTTCAGGGTGCAGCTGAAATTGTAGCAACCCTGGGGAAATGCAAAAGAATGCTATCCCATGCAGCTAAAAGGCAATGTAAACCATGCTCCTGGAAGACGGAACAGTAAATACTAATTTCTATTTGTAATATGTTATTCATATGTCATGCTTTCACTTACTTATTTGGCTGCCTTGGGATGATATCAAAAGGAGGTCCTGGCTCACCTAAGCTCTCTGGGAAGATGTCCACCCACATCTGCACCTTGCCCTGGGAGAGCAAAGGAGCATAAATAATAGTGAACCATAAAGTTTTAATTGGGACAAATGTTGGAGGTAATAATAATAATAATAATAATAATAATAATAATAATAATAATAATAATAGCCCAGGTGACAGCAGGATTGAAGAGAAACAACTGGAAAAGCTGATACAATATGAGGATTTAAAGACCAAACTGCAAAGACTCTGGCACAAGCCAGTAAAGATGGTCCCAGTGGTATTCGGCACACTGGGTGCAGTGCCTAAAGACCTTGGCCTGCACTTAAAACACAATCGGCACTGACAAAATTACCATCTAATACCAACAAGAACATCTAATCACCTCTCAACAAAAGATTGCTCCAGGCACTGCCAGACAATCAAATGCTAATCAAGGTGATCAGTTGAAACTTTCACACCTAGCTCCAACAGACAAGAGTCCTTTGTCCCACCCTGGTCATTCCACAGATATATAAACCCTTTGCCTAGTTCCAACAGACCTCACTACCTCTGAGGATGCTTGCCATAGATGCAGGCGAAACATCAGGAGAGAATGCCTTTAGAACATGGCCATTTAGCCCAAAAAAACCTACAACAACCCAAAATTACCATCTGCCAGCTGCAGAAGGCCACCTTACTGGGATCTGCACACATCATTCGCCGATACATCACACAGTTCTAGACACTTGGGAAATGTCCAACGTGTGATCCAATGCAACAGCCAGCATAGTGATCTTGTCTGCTGTGGACTCATCTTGTTGTGTTTCAAATAATAATAATAATAATAATAATAATAATAATAATAATAATAATAATAATACGAGGGGTGTTCATTAAAGATTTTCCCCTGACTCACTTCCCATGGACTGAGAGCAATGAAACTTGGCCCAGTGACCTCTCCATCAGTGCCACTTCTCCTTTCTTGACAGGTGGCTCCAAAAGCCACATTGTGACTTCGGAAATCAGTCTCATCACTTGTAAAAGGCTTGCCCTTCAAAAAATAACTTCCTTGGTGGAGAGAGATTGAAGTTCAATGGTGTGAGGTTGGGTGAAGAAGGAGGACACGGTAGAATTTCAAAGCCACAGGAGCATGCTTCCATTTGGGCAAACACGTGAGTTGTGAACTAGACTATTGTCTTGCAGAAGGCAGACACCTTGGGTGAGCATGCCACATTGTCTCTTGGTTTGCATGGCCTCCCGCCATTTCCACAGCAGTGAAGCCTAGTCTGCCCCAGTGATCATGGTCCCATTGGCTAGGAAATCCCTCAAATCCTACTCCATGCTGGTCTCAAAATCCTGTGAGCATGACCTTGCTTGCTGAGAGTTGGGCACGTGCATTCTGTGGAAAGCGGTGAGTCAGGATACTTCCATTGAATTGATTGGATTTGAGTCTCAGGATCAGAGTGATGGGCCCAGCTTTCACCCAGTGTGATCAGTCTGTTGACAAAATCCTCCTGGTTTCCATGGCACATCATTGTCAAGAGAGCCAGAGGGCATGCGACTCAGTCCTGCTTCAGCCGGTGAACCCAGTAAGTGGAGACCTTATGCAGGTGAAAATCTTGCATGATTTTTTTCCATGGACCCCACACTCATCTTGACATTTTGGGCTAGGTGACCAATGGTTACATTGGGATTTTCCAAAATGGCAGCCTCCACTTGCTGGATGGTGTGTTCATCAATAGCAGATTGGGGTCACCCTGGAATTGGAGCTGTTTGCACCTAAGTCCGACCACATTGGAACTGACAATGTCAGTTCTTGATTCCATCATATTTTATTTATTTATTTATTTATTTATTTATTTATTTATTATTCGAACTTATATGCCGCCACTCCCCTGGGGCTTGGAGCGGCTTACAAAAACAGGCTAAAATCGAACAACAATTTAAAAACAATTTAAAACTATTTAAAACTAGCAATATCAAATATCAAAGGCCTGTCGAAACAGATATGTTTTACATGCCCTGCGGAAAGCTGATAAGTCCCGCAAGGCACGGACTTCAGGTGGCAGAGTATTCCAGAGTGATGGTGCCACTGCTGTAAAGGCTCTGCGTCTGGTTGCTGTTAGACGCAAGGTCTTGACACTGGGAATTTCCAACAAATCTTGGTCTTCAGAATGGAGGGATCTCTGGGGTTGGTAGGGGGTGAGGCGGTCCCTCAGGTACATCGGCCCTAGACCATGCAAGGCCTTAAAGGTGAGTACCATCACTTTGAAAGTGATCCGGTGCTCAATTGGTAACCAATGCAGCTGTAGTAAGATTAGTGTTATGTGGCATCTCATAGGAATTCCCGCAAGAAGCCGAGCAGCTGCATTTTGTATCAACTTGAGCTTCCGGATCACCGACAGAGGAAGGCCAATGTAGAGGGCGTTACAGTAGTCCAGTCTTGAGATAACCATAGCCTGGATCACTGTAGCTAGGTCGTCCCTGGACAGGTAGGGGGCCAGCCGTCTAGCCTGCCGCAGGTGAAAAAAGGCGGTTCTGCTAACGGCGGAGACCTGGGCCTCCATCGTCAGCAGAGGGTCCAAAAGGACTCCCCAACTCCTTACCAATGATGATGGGGAAATATGATGGGGAACCCTCACCATGGACCTCTTTCATCTCCTCAAATATCTCCTTTTGTGTGTGCAGGGAAAGCACAATGAAATTACCCCCAACAGATGGTCATAATAATAATAATAATAATAATAATAATAATAATAATAATAATAATAATAATAATAATAATAATTCGAAGGGACCTCTAAAGACCATCTAGTCAGTGTTTCTCAATCTTCCTAATGCCATGACCTCTTAAGACAGTTCCTCATGTTGTAGTGACCCACAACTATATTATTTTCATTGCAAATGCTAACTGTAATTTTGCTACTGTTAATTAATTGTAATGTAAATATATGGTATGCAGGATGTATTTTCATTCACAGGAACAAATTTGGCACAAATACGATACGAACAAATTTGAATACTAGTCAGGAGAGGGGATTGATTTTGTCATTTGGGAGTTGTAGTTGCTGGGATTTATAGTTCTCCTGCAATTCAAGAACATTCTGAACTCCATCAACAATAAAATTGGACCAAACTTGGCACACAGAACTCCCAAGACCAACAGAAAATACTGGAAGGGTTTGGTGGGCATTGACCTTGTGTTTGGGAGTTGTAGTTCACCTTCATCCAGAGAGCACTGTGGACTCAAACAATGATAGATCCAGCTCAAACTTGGCACAAATACTCAACATGCCTAAATGTGAACACTGGTGTAGTTTGGGGAAAATAGACCTTGACATTTGGGTGTTGTAGTTGCTTGGATTTATAGTTCACCTACAATCCAAGAGCATTCTGAGCTCCACCAACGATGGAATTGAATCAATGTTGGCAAATGATCTTGAGCTTTGGAGCTGTAGTTCACCAGAGATGCAAACAATGATGGATCTAGACCTCACTTTGCACGAATTCTCAATATGCCCAAATGTGAACTGGTGGAGCTTGGGGAAAATAACCTTAACATTTAGGAGTGGTAGTTGCTGGGATTTATATTTCACCTACAGTCAAAGAGCATTCTGAACCCAGTCCACAATGGATCTGCACCAAACTTGGCACACTACCTACATGGCCAACATTGAATACTGGTGTTTATTTTTGAATTCTGGGAGTTGTGGTTCACCAAAAAGTCAGAGAAGGACAGGCAGAGAGATTTTCATCCTTCTCTGCCAAAGAAGTTCCTAAGACCATCAGAAATATGTGTTTTCTGATGGTCTTTGGTGACCCCTCTGAAACCCCCCTTGTGACCCCCCCCTGCGGTGTCCCAACACCCAGGTTAAGAAACTGATCTAGTTCAAGGACCTTCTGCCTTCATGCAGCAAAAGCACAATCAAAGCACCCCAACAGATGGCCATCCAGCCTGAACAACAGCAGCAGCAACAATAACAGTTGGAAGAGACCATCTAGTCCATCAAGGACGAAGCTCATTAAACTGTGGAAAAGTGGAACAGATTCTATATCGGTTCTGTGGATACTGGAGTTGTGCTGCATAGTGAAACCATTGGCTAAATGGTCAGGGTTTACCTGGTCGATCCCTGGATGGGCTGCACTGTAAAGGGTGCGCGTCTCAATGTGTTCCGGCACCAGTCCACAGGTACGGAGCAGATAGAGGGCAAGGCGCTCTTTGGCAGGCCCCAGGTAGTCATGCAAAGGCGGCTGGGTCTCTGGAAAAATTGAAGTGGCTGCAGTAAATGAGGAAAATGGGCTTTGGAGTCTGTGTTTAGCATTGCAGCCAACATCCAGTGCATTAGTGAACCTCGTACGATCTATTTGCATTAGCTTGGCACTTTGGAACTCGGAGATGTAGGTTGCCAATCTATATAAATAAAAATGTAATGTTCGCTTGTGGGATTAACAGAACTCAAAAACCACTGGGGGAATTGACACCAAATTTGGACACGATACACCTAACAACCCAATGTATGTCCTTCACTCAAAAAAAAATTGATTTTGTCATTTGGGAGTTGTAGTTCTTGGGATTTATAGTTCACCTACAATCAAAGAGCATTCTGAACCCAACCAACGATGGAACTGAACCAAACTTGGCACACAGTACTCCCATGACCAACAGAAAATACTGGAAGGGTTTGGTGGTCAGTGTCCTTTGGTTTTGGAATTGTAGTTCACCTACATCCAGAGAGCACTGTGGACTCAAACAATGATGGATCTGGACCAAACACGAATACTCAATATGCCCAAATGTGAACACTGGTGGAGTTTGGGGAAAATAGAATCTTGACATTCGGGAGTTGTAGTTGCTGGGATTTATAGTTCACCAACAATCACAGAGAATTCTGAACCCCATCAACAATAGAATTGGGCCAAACCTCCCACACAGAACCCCCATGTGGGCCACAGCAAAATCACTGGAAGGATTGACACCAAATTTGGACACAATACATCTATCAGGCAAATGAGTGACCATCACTCACAAACACACTGAAAAACACAGCAGAAGAGACTTACAAAGCCAAAAAACAAAAATTACATTACAATGTATGCGCAAAACCACACACACACACACACACACACACACATATATATGCAAACACACATATACACAAATATATACACACATAAAACATGCACAGACTGGGCCACAACAACGCATGGCAGGAGACGGCTAGTAGTAAATGTTCCTCTTTATGGCTGGTGGGTATGGATCAGGAATGGGCACACCTTGGCCCTCCAGGTGTTTTGGACTACAACTCACACAGTTGTAGGGAGTTGAAGCCCAAAACACCTGAGGGCCAAAGTTTGCCAATGCCTGGTATGGAGCATCATATGACACCCAAGACCGAGACCTAAGAGCCATCCAGTTTAACCCTGTTCGGTCAACCAAACCACTGTCAACAGATGGTCATCCAGGACCAGGTTCTTCACACCTTGGAGCCATTCTGAGCCACTCACCAAAGTCAGCCAGCTGGTAGGTCCTGCCCAAGAAAATGGCTTCGCTCCCATCTTCGGTTATCTCTGCCGGAGGCAAGTCTTTGGTTCGTGTATAATTGGCTAGGAGCTCCGTGGGGAGAAGCTGGTCTCTCCACTGAGTGGGACCGGCCCTGCGAGGAGGAGAAAGGGACTTTGATGAGACCAAATAGTATTGGCAAGTTGTATGTATGGATTTGAGCTGCACATTGTGAGATCCCCTTCCAACACAGAATGCACGTGCCCAACCAACCTACCTACCTACATACACACATAATATATTGACATATATCTATATAGAAGATTGCATGAATAAGGTGCAACTTCAAAATGGTAAGATAGATGCCACCCTAATTCCTCTTGTCTTAGATAAACATACCTATTCCAAAAACAATACGTGAGAGGCAAAATGAAAACATGTATACATCTTAGCAAGCTCAATACGCCTACTTCATGTATACTTCATACAGGCAAGAGCTCAACTGATGTCCCCAAGAGGGAGCTGCTTAAGGAAAGCATCATATTACCACGGGCATTATTGTTAGGTATTAGATAATGCTGTATTAGATAGGAATGTATTGCAAATGTCTCCAGGGTGTGGAAAAATATAATTCTAACGCACATGTGTTCACAGCATAGTCCACTGAAGGATTAGGAAAGTGGAGATGTGATACTAGAGGGATAGCTCAATCATTTCCTGTGATCCGTGGAGGAAAAATGTGAGTGGCGGATATGTTCACTTCCTCTTTGCTGTGTGCTTTCTCTTTGCCATCTTTGATATATCTTGCCATGATCTCTCTGTATCTGTAATCCATCGCCACCCTCACTGTGTGTCTTGCTATGGTTGTGTTTACCGACAACAGACCTGTACCTGGCAACTATTGATTAAAGCCTCCAAAGGAGTTCAGACGAAAGCCAGAGCTAAAGCGGTGAGCGGCAAACAAGGTCAAAGGCTGTGCTGTAAATCTCTGCTAACTACAGATAAAGACTCTGCTGTGTTTTGGTTTGATTCAGCTGCTTGCCTTGAGACAATCAGTCTCCTGTGCAGCTTAGAGAGGATGTGACAGATGTGCCATAGATGCAGGTGAAGGAACTTATTCACGTAACTACACAGTGGGTGTTTTGTTTATTTATTTATTGTAACCAATCTTTCCCTATGCTATCCAAAACTATATATATATATATATAACAATAATGCAATGCATTGCCTCTGGGGCCTGACACCTCTCTCATTCCCCCAGGGTCTCATAGGAATAATAGCATAATAATAATAATAATAATAATAATAATAATAATAATAATAATAATAGAAATAACAACCTTTACCCGCCATGTGTTGCTGTGGCCAACCTTCCCTCTTTCTCTCCTTCTTTCCCTCCTTCCTTCCCTTCCTTCCTTCCTTCCTTCCTTCCTTCCTTCTTTCTCTTTCTCTTCTTCTCTTTCTTCCTTCTTCTTTCCTTCCCTCCTCTTTCTCTACATCCTTCCCCCTTCCTTCCTCCTCTTTCCTTCCTTCCCTTTTCTTTCTCCTTCCTTCCTTCCCCTTTTTCTTTCTCTTCTGGTCTCTTTTCTTCTTCTCTCTTTCCTTCTTTCCTTCCCTCCCTCTTTCTCTACATCTTCCCCCTTCCTTCACTCCTTCTTTCCTTCCTTCATTCCCTTTTTTCTTTCCTTCTCTCCTTCCTTCCTTCCCCTTTTCTTTCCCTCCCTCTGTCTCTCATTTCTTCCTTCTCTACCTCTTTCCTTCCTTCCCCCTTTTTCTTTCTCTTCTGCTGTCTCTCTTTTCTTTCCTTCCATCTTTCCTTTTCTTTCCTTTTCTTCTTCCTTCTTTCTCTAACTTTCCTTCCTTTCCCCTTTTTCTTTACCTCCCTTTCTCTTTCTTCCTTCTTTCCTTCCTTCCTGTCTTTCCTGGATTTTGACAGGGCGGGAAGGGGCGGGGTGGGGTTTGGAGGTGGCGTGAAGTAAAAGGAGGTAAGATTGGGGCAGGGGAGTGATGGAGCGTGGGGTTGCGTGTGTGTGTGCGGCGGCGGGAGGAGTGATGGAGCATGGGGTTGCGTGTATGTGTGCGGCGGCGAGGGAGGGAGTGGGGTTGTGTGTGTGCGTGCGGCGGCGGGGGTGGGAGTGGGGTTGCGTGTGTGTGTGCGGCGGCGGGGGGAGTGATGGAGTGGGTTGCGTGTGTGTGGGCGGCCGGGGGAGTGATGGAGCGTGGGTGCGTGTGTGTGTGTGCGGCGGGGGGGAGTGATGGAGCGTGGGGTTGTGTGTGTGTGTGCGCGGCGGGGGGCGGGGGGTTGTGTGTGTGTGCGGCGGCGGGGGGAGTGATGGAGCGTGGGGTTGCGTGTGTGTGTGTGCGGCGGCGGGGGAGTGATGGAGCGTGGGGTTGCGTGTGTGTGTGCGGCGGCGGGGAGTGATGGAGCGTGGGGTTGTGTGTGTGCGTGTGGCAGGGGGTGTGTGTGTGCGGGAAGCGGCGCGGCGGGGCTTGGAGTGGGCATGGCTTCCGCAGAGGGAACGTTGGCCAGAAGGCTGTGTGCGCGCGCCAGGGAACTTGCGGCTGGGCACCAATGCGCATGCTCAGTTGTTTTGCCGTTTTGTGAGTGTGTTGTTGTGTTGTTTTTCATTTTGAGTAGATATGTTTGTACCTTGTGGGTTGTGTTATGGGCATGGGAATTTTGGTTAAGTTTCGTTGGGGTTTTTTTGAGTTTTGTTGTTTTGCCGTTTTGTGAGTGTGTTGTTGTGTTGTTTTTCATTTTGAGTAGATATGTTTGTACCTTGTGGGTTGTGTTATGGGCATGGGAATTTTGGTTAAGTTTTGTTGGGGGGTTGTGGAGTTTTGCTGTCCCGTTGAACCAACCTAACAGATTTATATATATATATATATATATATATATGTATGTGTGTATATATATATATATATATGTGTGTGTGTGTGTATATATATATATATATATATACATATACATATACACACACACACACACACACACACACACATATATATATATATGCAGCTAGAGTTACACTTAAAAATATACCTGTTCTGACACAACCAACTTCACCATGAGAACAAATCCTACAGAACCAATGTTGTTTTTAAATTGGGGACTGCCTGTACTTTGTTTCCTTAATGCTTTTGAAGTGTGTAGAAACAGGGAGTGGAGTCTGCATGGGATAATATTCTAAGGCAACCATATTGACAGCAAACCCAGTCCTTGCCACTTACACACAGAAGGTCTGGGGCAGCCCACAGTTGGCCCCGAAGCGAGAGTAGAGACGGTTTTCCAAGTCGATGGTGGTTTCTCCAATGGCGTCGTCTGGCGGGAAGACATCAAAGTCGAAAAGGCAGACCTTCAAGTCCTTCTCTAATGGGATGCAGCACATGAGTTCATACATCCTGTGGGGAAGAGAGAAAAGCATGTGAAATATAAACCCCTTCGTTCCCTTTCTTTTGCCTCTCGGTTGCTTACTGCAATGGTAAGCCATTCCTGGCATGTGTATGTTTCTTAAATGGTGCCTAGCATATTTTGCTTTATGAATAAATACATATCAGAGTGTTTGAGGACCGGGACATCCGTAGGGATACCAAGGTGCTTGTCTATAAAGCTATTGTCCTCCCAATAGCTTTATAGTGCTCTATGCCTGCGTAACGTGGACTGTCTACAGACATCACGTGCAACTCCTGGAACGATTCCATCAGCACTGCCTCCGGAAAATCCTGCAAATCTCTTGGGAAGACAAGCAGACAAACGTCAGCATGCTGGAAGAAGCAAAGACCACCAGCATTGAAGCGATGGTCCTCTGCCACCAACTCCACTGGGCCGGCCATGTTGTCCGGATGCCTGACCACCGTCTCCCAAAGTAGTTGCTCTACTCTGAACTTAAGAACGGAAAACGGAACGTTGGTGGACAGGAAAAGAGATTGAAAGATGGACTCAAAGCCAACCTTAAAATTTCTGGCATAGACACTGAGAACTGGGAAGCCCTGGCCCTTGAGCGCTCCAGCTGGAGGTCAGCTGTGACCAGCAGTGCTGCAGAATTTGAGGAGGCACGAGTGGAGGGTGAAAGAGAGAAACGTGCCAGGAGGAAGGCACGTCAAGCCAACCCCAACCTGGACCACCTTCCACCTGGAAACCAATGCCCTCACTGTGGGAGAAGATGCAGGTCAAGAATAGGGCTTCACAGCCACCTACAAATCCACAAGGAAACCCATCATGGAAGACCATCTTACTCGTCCAACGAGGGATCGCCTAAGTAAGTAAGTACATATCAGAATTGCATTGAGGACATACCTGTTGCCCTTCCGGTGGCAGCGAAAACCCTTTTATTCCGGCTGAGAGATAAGCGGGATGCATAATAATAATAATAATAATAACAACAACAACTAACAACAACCTCACATATCCATGGGAGAAATGTTATAAGACTTAGTGCAGATATGCATAACAACAACTGGGCTGTAATAATAATAATAATAATAATAATAATAATAATAATAATAATAAAAACAACAACAACAACCACCTCTGAGGATGCTTGCCATAGATGCAGGTGAAACATCAGGAGAAAATGCCTCTAAAACATGGCCATATAGCCCAAAAAACCGACAACAACCCAGTGATTCTGGCCATGAAAGCCTTCGACAATACAATAACAATAATAATATACAACTCTCCTCATCTACAGGGAAAAAAAGAACAGCTTGCCTCAGGGGAGTGTGCTTGCTCTAACAACCTTAATCATTGGCTGATGCCAGATGATAAACTCCCTCCTAGGCACACAGAAGAGTAGACAACTTGGAAAGTGCTGAACAGGCTATGAGATGCAGAGCTAACTTTAAGAAATGGGGGCACAGTCCACAACAGGCGTGTGTGGAGAAGAGCAAACCACAGACCACATATTACAATGCAGCCTGAGTGTGCCGTCCGCCTAGACACTATAAAAAATAAGACTGCGGCGTACTTCTCTCTAAGCTGAGCAAACTGCAGTTGTCTATCTTGAAAACTTAAGATACTAAGCAACTGAGACTAGTATTGGTTTTAAACATAAAAAAGAATATTTATTTACACAAAGTTCTTGAAGACTTGGCACAGTCCATACAGTTGCAAACAAACAGTCAATAGATGAAGCTACAAAAATATTCTCTCTTTCCTATAGCTACAGAGGCAACCTTTTCTCCAGATGGCAGATAAGATTCTGGAATCTTAACACCCTAACCTAAAGCTGTTGTGGTTTAGAAAAAGGCAGACTTTTTCCCTATCTATAACTTAAGGTCAGTCCTGGAGACAAAGTAGTCACGACTCTCTCTCTGTAACTATAACTCAATCTTCTCAACAAAGCTTATCCGTCTAAAACAGTGGTTCTCAACCTTTCTAATGCCACGACCCCTTAATACAGTTCCTCATGTTGTGGTGACACCCAACCATAAAATTATTTTCATTGTTACTTCATAAATGTAATTTTGCTACTGTTATGAATCGTAATGTAAATATCTGATATGCAGGATGTATTTTCATTCACTGGATCAAATTTGGCACAAATACCCGAAATGCCCAAATCTGAATACTGGTGGAGTTGGGGAAGGATTGATCTTGTCATTTGGGAATTGTACTTGCTGGGATTTATAGTTCACCTACAGTCAGAAGCATTCTGATCTCCACCAATGATGGAACTGAACCAATCTTGGCACACAGGACTCCCATGACCAACAGAAAACACTAGCAGGGTTTGGTGGGCATGGATCTTGAGTTTGGGAGTTGTAGTTCACCTACACCTGTGGACTCAAACAATGATGGAACAGGACCTAATTTGGCACAATACTCAATATGCCCAAATGTGAACACTGGTGGAGTTTGGGGAAAATAGACCTTGACATTTGGGAGTTGTAGTTGCTGGGATTTATAGTTCACCTACAATCAAAGAGCATTCTGAACCCCACCAATAATAGAATTGGACCTAACTTTCCACACGTAACGCAGATGACCAAGAGAAAATACTGTGTTTTCTGATGGTCTTTGGCGACCCCTCGGACACCCTCTTGTGACCCCCCCCAGGGGTCCCGACCCCCAGGTTGAGAAACACTGGTCTAAAATATCTCAACACAGCTCAATACACAATATACTATCTAAACTAATTCAGTATAGCTTAATACTTATCTATAATGTATAATATACTATCTATAGCTTACTCAGTTTATAGTTTTTGCAATGGTTCTCCCAGAGCTAACTGCTTAGCCATCAGCACGTCTGAAATTTTTCCTCAAACTGAAAAGGCAGGGGAGAGTCTAAAATGGAGATCTTTCCCTGGGAGAAAAGGAGGTCCCTAAACTCAAAGAGCTGCTCTCTAAGCCAATGGTTGCAAAGAGGCCTGCAGACTCTGATACTATTAACCTTTAGGACTCTTGCAAAGATTCAGCAGCCCTGGGAGAGAATGCAAGAGGAAGCAACCTCAAGCAACTATAAAATAAGGCAAATCAGGCTCCTGGGAGACGGAACACTGAGCCCTGCCATATACACAATGGAGGACATTCTTATAGCAACACCAGAGGCACTCCAAGTGGCCAACTGCTGGTCAAAGGACATTTAGCATCATGCTAAGTTTTTAACTTTATTTGTGGTTTTACTATACATTATAACTGTATTCTCAGTTTGCTTCTGACACGCTAAATAAATATTCACAGGTGATATGTTTTGGGATTTCATGTAAATATTCATGATCATCATCATCAAATAGAAATTGCAATGGGGAATAAAGCATTTTCTTGGTGAGTATAATTTGTGAGATTTCCTGGTGATGCATACATCTGCAATATTATTCATTGATAGGTTTAAAATGTAACCTTGCATTTCAGAAACATCAGGGAAGTTTTGCAATTACTATTATCATTGCTATTAGAATATAAACCTTTGGAGATTAACTAGGCAGCAGAATCATAGAATTCGAAGTGATCTTGTGGGCCATCCAGTCCAACCCCATTCTGCAAGCAGGAAATCTCATTCAAAGCAGTAGGCAGACCTACCTCCCAAAGACAGGCTCCAAGGTGTTGGGGATATAATCATTTCTTTCACCAACGTTCTTCTTCCCAATCTTGATCCAGACATAGGGATCACACTGCAGGAGGAGAGTCCAAATAGGGGAGCATCTACATCAGTGTTTCTCAACCTTCCTAATGCTGTGACCCCTTAATACAGTTCCTCATGTTTTGGTGACCCCAAAGCATAATATTCTTTTCATTGCTACTTCATAACTGTAATTTGCCTACTGTTATGAATCAGCATGTAAATATCTGACCTGCAGGATGTATTTTTATTCACTGGACCAAATTTGGCATAAATACCCAAAACACCAAAAGAAAATTATTACAAGTTAATATGGAAATGGTACCTTAAACCAGTAAGAATAGCACATATAAATAAAAACTATTCAAAAAATTGCTGGAGAGGATGTAAAGAATCAGGAACATATATACATATGTGGTGGCAATGTAAATATGTAAATAATTTTTGGGGGAAAGTATTTAGAGAAATAGAAGATATAATGAATATTAAAATAGAAAGAAGTCCTAGTATAGCTTTATTATCATTATATAACAAACAATTGAAAAAAGAGGATAAAGAAGTGATAACAAAGTATTGTCGAAGGCTTTCATGGCTGGAATCACTTAGTTCTTGTGGGTTTTTTCGGGCTATATGGCCATGTTCTAGAGGCATTTCTCCTGACGTTTCGCCTGCATCTATGGCAAGCATCCTCAGAGGTGACCTCACCTCTGAGGATGCTTGCCATAGATGCAGGCGAAACGTCAGGAGAAATGCCTCTAGAACATGGCCATATAGCCCGAAAAAACCCACAAGAACTAAGTGATAACAAATGTATTAACAATAGCAAGACTGCTTATAGCAAGGAACTGGAAAAAAGAAATAAATATACAAATAGAGGAGTGGTATAAGGAAGTATGGAAACTGGCAATAAATGATAAGCTGACGTGTATATTAAAAGTTAAAAGAGGTATATGGAAACAAAGTGATTTTGATGATGTATGGAGAAAATTTATTGAAAAAGAATTAAAAAACAAAGAAGGAAAGTTACCTCCGCAAAAAGAATTGAAATTTTGGACAGATGATATGTAAAAGCTGTGGCTTGGGAGCAGGGAGGGGAGCACAGCGGTGAGAGATAGACAATACGTATAAGCAGAAAATAACACTAGATACCAAAAGTATGGCAGGTTGTATCGAATAATATGTATCTGCTGTAAAACAAACAATGTATAACAAATGTATTGAATCATGATAAAATCATAAAATATTTTTTTTAAAAATACCAGGAGAGAATGCTTCTGAAACATAGCCAGACAGCCCGGAAAACTCACAGCAATCCAATGATTCCGGGCATGAAAGCCTTCAACAACACAATAAGGATAAGAATTCTCATAATAAGAATTCTAATAGTAAGAATTCTAATGATAAGAATAATTATATTTATAGCTTGAGACGCAAACATCTTCCTACAACGGAGAGGGAAACATCATGAAAGCAATTAAGGATAAAGAGGTTAAAAACAGTTCAAACTCCATGCAGCAGTTCTTAAAAACTTTCTGCTTCCAAAGAAAAAAACAAAACAAAACCTTTTGATGAAGGATTCTCTAGCATAAAAAATCTACAGCTCCCTATGGAAGCCCAGTCTTCCCATGAATATCACAAAATAGAAACTGCAATGGGAAATTATGCATTCTCTAGTTCGACATAGTATGTGAGACATATGATTGTCCCAGGGAAGGAAATGAAATGCAGCTCAGATTACCAGGCCGTTTCTGTCCTTCGGCTGGAGGTTAAGGGCTCGGATGATATAGACCCGAACTAGGCACATCTGGCACACGTTTTGGGGAAGCTCCTGGAACTGGCGCGGAGGCGGCGGGATGTTGGGGTCTTCTGATATGGGATAGATTCGGAAGAGACCCTGCGAAAAGAGGAATGCAGACAATATATCAACAAACATTATTTTAAAACAATGACGCAATAAAACAGACTCGTCAGTCGTATTGCCATTCCACTCTATGTCCCTTTAAAACTCTACATACATCTACTGTCCAAAGACCTGGTCCCAAAACCATGATTTTAATTTTTTTCTAAAAGCCAGGAGGGAGGGAACAGATCATACTTCACTTGGGAGCGTGTTCCATAGCTGAGGGGCCACCGCCGAGAAGGCCCTGTCCCTCATCCCCGCCAGACGCATTTGCGCTGTTGACGGGAGTGAGAGCAGGGCCTCCCGGATGATCTTAGATTACGAGATGGGACATAGGGGTGGATGCGTTCAGACAAATAAGCTGATACGCAGAAATACTCGATCTGCCCAAATTTGAATATTGGTGGGGTTAGGTGTGTGTGTGTGGGGGGGGGGGGGGGGGGGGGGTACAGATTTTGTCATTGGGAGATGTAGTTGATGGGATTTATAGTTCACCTATAACCAAAGAGCATTCTGAACCACCTATGAAGGAATTGAACTGAACTTGGCACACAGAACTCCCATGACAAACAGAAAATACTGGAAAGGTTTGGTGGCCATTGACGTTGAGTTTTGGAGTTGTGGTTCACCTACATGCAGAGAGTACTATGGACTCAAACAATGATGGATCTCAACCAAACTTGGCACAGATAATCAATATGCCCAAATGTGAACACTGGTGGAGTTTGGGGTAAATAGACTTGACATTTGGGAGTTGTAGTTGCTGGGATTTATAGTTCACCTACAATCAAGGAGCATTCTGTACCTCACCAACAATAGAATTGGACCAAACATCTCACACAGAACCGCCATCACCAACAGAAAATGCTATTTATTTATTTAGAAGTTTTATATACCAGTCTTCTCACCTCCAAGGAGGAACTCAGGCTGGTTCACAACATGTGTTCATATACAATAATATACAAAAACAACACAATGCATCATCATTACACATTAAAATATGTTGTTGTTCATTCGTTCAGTCGTCTCCGACTCTTCGTGACCTCATGGACCAGCCCACGCCAGAGCTCCCTGTCGGCCGTCACCACCCCCAGCTCCTTCAAGGTCAGTCCAGTCACTTCAAGGATGCCATCCATCCATCTTGCCCTTGGTCGGCCCCTCTTCCTTTTGCCTTCCACTTCCCCAGCATAATTGTCTTCTCTAGGCTTTCCTGTCTCCTCATGATGTGGCCAAAGTACTTCAACTTTGTCTCTAGTATCTTTCCCTCAAGTGAGCAGTCGGGCTTTATTTCCTGGAGGATGGACTGGTTGGATCTTCTCGCAGTCCAAGGCACTCTCAGCACTTTCCTCCAACACCACAGCTCAAAAGCATCGATCTCTCCCTTCGCTCAGCCTTCCCTAAGGTCCAGCTCTCACATCCGTAGGTTACTACAGGGAATACCATGGCTTTGACTAGGCGGATCTTTGTTGCCATTAAAATATAAGTACGATAAAAACATTATCATCATATTATACAAGCCAAGTCGTCAATACAGTCACAGTCACGGTTCATCATCCTCCTTCCATGTGGACAAAGGTTATTGACTCAATCCTCAAATGCCACATTCCAAAGCCAGGTTTTTGTTTCCTGAAGGTCATGAAGGAGGGAGCAGTTCTAATCTCTAGTGGGAGGGAGTTCCAAAGCCGAGGAGCCACCACCGAAAAGGCCTTGTCCCTCGTTCCCACCAAACGCAATTGCGAAGGTGGTGGGACCGAGAGCAGGGCCCCTCCGGAAGATCTTAGAAACCTTGATGGTTCATAGGGGAGAATCCGTTCAGACAGGTAAACTGGGCCGGAGTCGTTTAGGGTTTTATAGGTCAAAACCAGCACTTTGAATTGTGCTCGGAAGCTAATTGGCAGCCAGTGGAGCTGGCGTAACAGAGGGGTCGTATGATCTCTGTACCCCGCTCCTGTTAGCAATCAGGCTGCCGCTCTCTGGGCTAATTGAAGCTTCCGGGCAGTCTTCAGAGGCAACCCCACGTAGAGAGCGCTGCAGTAGTCTAAACGGGATGTAACCAGAGCGTGGACCACCGTGGCCAAGTCAGACTTCCCAAGGTATGCATGCAGCTGGCGCACAAGTTTTAATTGTTTTCTGATGGTCTTTGGTGACCCCCCTGACACCCCCAAGGTCCTGACCCCAGGTTGAGAAACACTGATCTACACCAAGGGTCCTCAAACTACACTCCACGGAGCCCTTGAGGCTCCATAGGTGATAGTGACGGCCTCTGCTTATTATTATTATTACAAAGGCTGCAAGGCAGAAGGGGGTTGGGCTGGATGATCTCTGGCTTTTCTATTCTTATTATTACCATTGTTATTACTATTTCTACCTGTTATCATTTCTTGGAGGCTCCCTCATACCAAACCTTGTTGGGTATTAATGTGGGCAGGAAAGACATCTCTGACACTATGTCAGAATGTTCATAAATCAAAGTGGCAGCCTTCCTGCGTTGCTCAAACATATACCTGGAATGCCTCTTAATCCAATTGTTTTGGGCCAACTCTAACATTCCAAATCCAACCACGATCTGGATGAGAAGCATTGTTTCAGGAATGACCATATGTAGGATTCTAGTACATTTAATAATGTATGGAAATATGGATTTCCATCAATTGTATAGGCTTCTGAGGCAGTCCCAAAATTAAATATGATCCTTTTGAGAAAAGTAGAGCACTCGCCTTGAATTCTCCTCCAATTACGGGGTCCTCAACTGTGACCGTTTCTCGATACAGTATGAAGGTCTGGCAGAAATCCTGGAAGCCTTGAAACTCTGGTACTTCTTCAAGTTCACAGTTGTAGATCTAAAGAAGAAAGCAACAGGTGGAAAAGAGATACATAGGATAAGAACACATTCAAAACACTCCCAATAGATGGCCATATAGAAAATCATAGAATCAAAGAGTTGGAAGAGACCTTATGGGCCATCCAGTCCAACCCCCTGCCAAGAAGCATGAATATTGCATTCAAATCACCCCTGACAGATGGCCATCCAGCCTCTGTTTACAAGCCTCCAAAAAAGGAGACTCCACCCCACTCCGGGGCAGAGAGTTCCACTGCTGAACGGCTCTCACAGTCAGGAAGTTCTTCCTCATGTTCAGATGGAATCTCCTCTCTTGAAGTTTGAAGCCATTGTTCCCAAGCTTACTCCCTCCTCCCTGTGGCTTCCTCTCACATATTTATACATGGCTATCATATCTCCTCTCAGCCTTTTCTTCAGGCTAAACATGCCCAGCTCCTTAAGCCGCTCCGCATAGAAGAAGACTTGACCACCATCCATTCCATTCTGAATGTTTCCATCTTTGAAGTTCATGGGAAGAGACCACTAAAGGCCATCCAGTCTCATAAAGCACACCTGGCACATGGCCATCCAGTCTCTGTTCAGAAATTTCTAGAGCAGTGTTTCTCAACCTGGGAGTCAGAACCCCTGGGCAGGTCGCATATTTTCTGGGGAGATATGAGGCCTGATTCGCCTTCCTATCCATACTATCCCCCAGCACCACATTCCAGGAAGTTGTTTTTATTCCTGTCATCTGCACTGCCCAGTTTTCACAACTAGATAGATCAGCATTTCTCAACCTGGAGGTCAAGACCCCTGGAGGGATGTCACAAGGGGGTTTCAGTGTTGCCAAAGACCATCGGAAAACGTATATTTCTGGTGGTCTTAGGAACCCCTTTGGCAGAGAAGGCTGAAGATCTCTCCGTTTGTCCTTTTTTTGGAAACAGACTATGAATCCTCCCACCAAAAACCTCTTAGCCAAGGGGAGGTCTATTTCTGAGACTCCAAGCAGGGAGGTGGGGTGAGAAGATCAGGCGTGCCCCAAATCGAAAATACAGACCACCTACTACAATGCAACCTGAGCCCTGTCACATACACAATGGAGGACCTTCTTATAGCAGCACCAGAGGCATTCCAAGTGGCCAGCTTCTGGTCAGAGGACATTTAACAGAATGCCAAGTTTGCGGGGGTGGGTGGGTGGTTTTTTTTTTAAAATACAGTACAACTGGTTCACTCCTGACATGATAAATAAATAAAATAAATACTTTTATCTCTTGATGGAGACCCAAAGTGGCAATGTGTGCAGTGTTATCTGAAGAGAAAATATTGGCAGGAATTGAAAGCATTGAACATGTCCTTCCTACTGATTCTGTGGTCCATATTTCTCCATTGACTTAAGTTAGTTTGGTTATTAGTTTGGTTATTAGACCTTGTGATTGAAATATATAATTATGCCCACTGTTCTACCTGGGTGTCAATTACACTCTAACACAACACACACCTTCACCGTATCAAAGCCCCACTTTAGGTAGTTCCCACTCTTTGCCAAGTCGCCCGTTGTGACGTAGAACTTGCTCCACCAGTCCACTTCCTCCTCTTCCTCATCTTCTATGTACTAATAGAGAAACAACATGGGAACATTAGGGTTGTGTCTATAAGACATGCTTTCCAAGTTGGTCAAGAGTTGGGGCATGCTGCTATGTCCCTCTAATAGAAAATGGCCCCAAAACCTCCAGGGTCTTTTTATCCAATCAAACCCTGGAGGCAAGGATATTGTTCAATAGGTTTATTTGATCAAATCACCCTGCTGAGTGAACGTAATGAAAAAGTGCCACCCAAGACTGAGACTCCGTTCAGTTTTATGGTCAATATAATCTTATCTATCTCTTTCTTTGTTCTCTTCTGCTGCCAGATATTACCAGTATTTCTGCCCTACTTTTCCTTCAGTTCCCACTCCTGCATCCGGCTTCTACTATGCCTGATTGTTATTAGGCATTCTCTTTTCAACTTTTCCCTTGTCTGAGCTCTCATTTACTCGGCCCTCGCTCAGGGTCAACCTAAGTCTGAAACGACTTGAAAGAACATAACAATAACAGCAATCCTATCACATCCTATCACAAAAGTAGGCCCACACTTTCCATTGAAATACTAATAATTTTATAGTTGTTAAAAATGTTCTTCATTTTAATTGTTGTATTGTTTTTAAGTGTTTTTTGCACTATAAATAAGATATGTGCAGTGTGCATAGGAATTCATTCATGTTATGATCTGGCCTTCCAACAGTTTGAGGGACTATGACCTGGCTCTCTGTTTAAAAAGTTTGAGGATCCCTGGACTAGATGATAGTGGCAGTATTGATGTTTTTAAAATGATTTTACTGTGTAATTGTAATTTTATGGTGTAGATGTTGTTGGCATCATTTGATGCTTATGTAAGCCCGCCCCAAGTCCCCTTATGGGGAGGGGGGGGGTAGAAATGTACGTAATAAATAAATATGCAACAAAATTTGGAAAAAAAATTCTGGGAAAAAAACTTGGAAAACACGAGTATAAGTCAAGAGTGGGAAATGCAGCAGCTACTGGTAAATTTCAAAATAAAAATAGATGCCAATACAATTGCATTAATTGATGCATCAGTAGGTCAAATGGTTTTGAATATTTACATAAAACTGTAATTAAGGCTGTCCAACTCTGATTAAACCATTATTCTAGCCTTCTTCTAGGTAAATGTGCTTACGTATCCTTCCAGTAATAATAGAGTAAAATAATAAATGTAATAATAACAAATCGCGTAAAATATTTTGATTCATATTTTAAGAAGTTCGTATAGCCTTGGTTTTGGGAGTTATGCTCATGTTTTGATTCTTATTTTCTGGATTCATGTTCATGTTATGATTCTTGTTTTCCTGAACCGTTTGGATTATTGCCTTTGATGTGTTTTACTCCTCGCCAGCTTGGTTGGGCTTTTTACTTATTGACGACTTTTTCTTATTACCTGTTGGATTTTTTCCTTTCTTGTTCCTTTTGGTGATTTCCCCCTTTTATATGTACTTTCTTTAAAAAAAAAGTTTTACTACTGCTTTTGGATTCCTGGTGGTGCTAAGGGCAAGGTGAACTCTGACGGGTGCAACGATAGCCGACTTGTCCATAAGTGCATCAAGTGAATCTTTAGCTACATTCCCCAAAGGGTTTTTTGGTCCTGAAAATTCCACAGAACATTTCATTTAACAAAAGGGAATGTCATGTTATCCCGGGAGTATTGAAGCTTTAGCTTGGACATAATGACCTACCCTCTCTTCTTTGCGCTTCTTCCATAACCATGGCTTGAAGAAAAACTTCAGTCCCTATAAGAAGGAGAAGATTTAAGCTGAGGAAGAAAAAAGGACCTTGGTAAACTAGAATTTTTCCAAAGAAGGACAACCAGAAAAGAATAACGGAAACTAGGAAGAGTTGAGGGAGTTGGGTACATTCCATCTGGAGAAGAGAAGATTGAAAAAGGAAAGCACAGCCATCTTTACTTATCTGAAATGCTATTAATGGAAGGCAGCATGAGCTTGTTTTCTGCTTCTCCAGAGGATACAATCTAAACCAATGGACCCAAATCACCAGAAAGGATATTTGGATTCAACATTGGTGAGGACTTCTTGATGGAATGGATTGCCTCAGAAGTTAATGGGCTTTGCTTTGTTGGAATTCTTAAAATAAGATATTGGATGGCTACCTGCCATGGCTGCTTTCGATAGAGATTTCCGTATTGGTAGAGTTGGAGTAGATAACTCTCTAATTCAATGACATAATCATTCTGTTACACCCATAGAGAAAATTCCTTAAGCCCAATAGGCATTCATATATTCCTCTTTCCAGGGAATCTGGGAGTTATTCAGAAGCTTTCAACTGGACTTGAAAGACTGTGAGTCCATCTTGCATATTGCTATCATGGTCAAAACATCCGGGCATCCCCTGGGCAACGTCCTTGCAGACAGCCAATTCTCTCAACCAGAAGCGACTTGCAGTTTCTCAAGTCGCTCCTGACACCAAATAAAAAAAAATCATGGTCAATATCCTGGGCAGAAATCCTTTCCTAGCCATACTAGGAAATCTTTGCTAGCAATCTTTGTCACTTTGGTCCTTCCCGCAAGAAAAGAAACTAGGGTAATTATAGGGCAAATTAGACTCATTTTGTTGTTGGCGTGAGACTATTGTGGGCATGTCTCGTAACAATGTTTTCGGATGCAGCATCATGGCCAAAATCAAATACTGAGAAGACGAGGGGCTTTGATGCCAAACTATGGCTATCTTACCTTCTTAGGCTTCGCTTTGGAAATAGCTGTTTGTAGAAGAAGACGGGGGGAAAACCCAAAAGAAAACGGAATTAATGGAATTAATACGAAACCTTGAAAGTGTGCTGCTTGGAACGAGGAACAAAATCTAACATATGGCTTCCAACATTATATTATATTATAACTATGTCATACAATTTTTGTTCCTGGGTTATTGTCATTTCCTAATTGGTTCCATCATAAAAAAAATGGAAAAGGGTCATTTAATTGCAAAAACTTTATTTTTACGGGACCTCCTGCAGCACCTTTTACCATCATTTAGTTTTTCAATGGATATGTCGGCCCATTCAAAATAGATTGTGGGACAAAACAAAGTTTCTGGAGTCAAACTACTTTCAAAGGAAGGACCACATACCGCATAACTAAACAGGAAATGACACTTTCAAACCAGGAACAGATTTTTTTTTAAATTGTTACATAGGGTTATATATAATCTCCTACAAAGTGACTTGTGGACTTCACAAGCTTATCTTGTGTTGCAACATCAATGAAGGCTTTCGGAACCTCAACTGAGCAAACAAGATCATATAGCACTATAGTTAGTAATAATAACAACAACAACAACAACAACAATAATAATAATAATAATAATAATAATCCTTTATTTGTACCCCGCTACCATCTCCCGCAGGACTCAGTGCGGCTTACAAGACGCCGAGCCCAAAGTACATCATTAGCAAAAACACAACAACAACAATACAATGCAAAAATAAATAACTCATAACAAAGCAGAACATTAACAAAAACACAACACTATTAAAAACCTGTGGCAGGGCCAAATGGAATAGTTAAAATTCTAAAAATGCTGGGCATGTCCAGGTGAGGTAGACTGGATATTTTGGGAATAGAAGGGTGTGCAGACAATTCTAACTCTCTCATAAAGTGCATTAGGGACAATTGCTTGGGATTCCTTAATCTGGGAAGGCACACTGGAACATCCATGTTTTCAAGCTCCTTCTGAAGACTGCCAGTGTTGGGGAGTGCCTGATGTCCTTGGGGAGGGAGTTCCAGAGTCGTGGGGCCACCACCGAGAAGGCCCTGTCCCTCGTCCCCACCAATCGCTTGCGATGCAGGTGGGATCGTGAGCAGGGCCTCTCCAGATGAACGAAGAGATCGTGTGGGTTCGTATACGGAGATGCGGTCACGCAGGTAGGTGGGTCCCAAACCGTTTAGGGCTTTGTAGGTAAACACCTGCACCTTGAATTGAGCCCGGAAGATGAACGGCAGCCAATGGAGCTCCTTGAACAGGAGGGTTGACCTCTCTCTGTAAGGAGCACCAGTTAACAGTCTGACCACCGCCTGTTGAACCAACTGAAATTTCCGGGCCGTTTTCAAGGGCAGCCCCACGTAGAGTGCGTTACAGTAGTCCAATCTGGAGGTGACTAAGGCATGGACCACCCTGGCCAGGCTAGTACTTCGATGGGAGACCACCATGGAAAATCAGTTACTCTATGGTCTGTTTCAGAGGAATTTTCAAAGTCACCTCTGCTACTAGCCTAAGAAAACCCTATAAGTTTGCCACAAGCCAATGGATGACTTGAAGGTACATGAATATTCGAGGGATGTTCATAATAGATTTCTCCTGACCCACTTCCTGTGAACTGAGAGCAATGAAACTTGGCCCAGTTCTGAGTCCTTCTCTCCCTCAGTGCCACCCAGGGACACACACTTCTCCCATCTTTTTAAGCAACTGTCAACACCTTGCTCGCAGAAATCGACAGGTTGCTCCAAAAGCCACGTTGTGGCCTCAGAAATCAGAGTCTCTCTGCTGAAAAATACCTGCCCTTTAAAAATAACTTCCTTGTTGGAAAAAGTCGAAGGCCGATGGTACAAGGTCAGGTGACTATAAGGGGGATGCAGTTGAAGTTCAAAGCCACGGGAGCATGCTTCTTCCATTTGAGCAGTAGGTGTTTTTTCCCTAAAAAAGACAACTGTCTCCATGGTGGCCCAGGACTTCTGGAGACTAGGGTTTCCAAATTATGGTGAACTTAAGGCAAATCTATTTTCTAGGACTTAAGAGTGTAAGACGTGTCCATGGTCACCACAATCGGTTTCCATGGCTGAGTGGGGATTTGAATCCTGGTCTGCATTATGCCATGCTACGTCTCATTTGAAAGTATTGATCCTATCCCTTAGTTCTTGGCTCCATGTCTCCATCAAGGTAACTAATTCAAGCCCTATCAAGAAATCTTGACTGAATCCCCCTTTAAGGCCTAATAGGGAAGTTATAAGGTAGTTGATACCTCTGAGAGGTAGATTGTGGACCTTCTTTTCTGCCCAGGGGTCACAGTAGTACTGGCGCAGGGGCTGCACACTGACGTGGCCCACCACCGGCTTAAATCCAAACTCTCTGTGGTCGATCACCTTCAGCTCAATGGGAGGTGCATAGTCTTCATCCACAGGCAGGTACTAAAGGAGATTGAAATGGATTTGATGGGATTTGTAGTCTGGTGAGGCACCAGCCCTCTTGGATAGAGAAGGTCAAAGACCTTGGGATACTCCAACCTCCAGGATGACATAGTCTTGAGCCCTGGAAGTTCAAGTGGCATCAAACTGCATTCCTTATACAGTGTAGATACACCTGCAGTGTAGATGCACTCACCACTTTCATGAGATAAATGTTAATGGGAAAGTTGGGGTTCTCCTGGAAGTTCTTGATTATTGGGGTTTGAAGACTTTCCATTCCACATTCGACAATGAGGCTTGGGTTGTTGATGACCAGGAGATTGTAGTTTTTCATGTCTCGCAAGCCCCAGGCCAGGATCTGTCCAAAGAGCACAGCCAATGTTACTTAAAAAAAGGTCCGTGGATACAGAGACAGATACTGGAAATGTACGATGTAATTTGGCAAACGTTTGCTGGTTGGAAGTTTGTGCAGAGCTTGGGAAGTTACTTTGAAAAGTAATGAGTTACCTTTCTAGTCCAGAGACCATTTACATGACACAGATGCCTTCAAGTCATTTCCGAGTTACGCTGACCATATAGCACTATTATTCCACTTTTAATGCCTCTACTGCATTCCTTGGAATCCTGGGATGAGTAGTTTTGTGAGGTTCGAGAGCAATCTGGCTGACAATTTTAGGTGCCCATCTCTACGCTTCAAATCCCAAGATTCCATAGATATAGATTGTGCAACAGATATAGCACAATCATAGTGCTATAGTTATGTGGTGTGGAAGATGTTAGAACATTCAAGGAATGAATTAATGTGTGTGTGTCAACTGTAAAATAAGATACATGAAGCTGATTGGTCGGGGAGCAGACTGAGTCTGGGACTTTTGGATACTGTTACACTTTTGTTCAGGCTTGAGCTATGCAAGTGTTCAGAGAGAGAAGAAGAGAGTGAAGCAGACAGAGACAGAGTTTGGAGTGTGCTCTTGCTTCATGAGCTGCTGAAGGAGCTCCACATGGACAGAGAAAGACAATTTTAAGACTGATTGCATTGTAACTTATGTTGTTCTGGATTTACGAAGAGTAAATTACTTGTTATTTATTGTTCATCTGCGTGGAATATTTTCTTTCTCTGGCAAGGCAGTGCGTGGGCTGATCAAAGGTGAAGTAGTTACATGTGGTTTATTTTACATTATGCCACAGAAGAGACCTAGTCTCCATCTGGTACTGAATTGGGTAACTACAGAAAGAATACAACAATAGCATAAGTACAATATCATTCCCGAGCACAGTATCTTCCCAGTAAAAGATAGAGAAAAAAAGAGAGAAAATCACGTACATTGATTCTTCTTGAGTGGAGTCCATACAGAACTTCAATTGTGTCTGGAAACAAATCATGTTGGTGAAGCATGGCAGAAGACGTTGGTGTCATGGTTGCTTCTCCTTGAGTACTTACCAGCTCATTGAAGAGTTTGTGGATTATCCCCATTGATGGGATGCCCATAATGCTCACCTCAACAGCCATCAGTCTCAGGATGGGACGGATCTCTTTGGGAATGGTGTATAGGCCATCCTTCCAGGCAGGAGGAGGGTGTTTTCCCAGGGACCCATCCTGGAGGGGGAAATTGAAATTTTGGATAAAGCTGTGTAGGTCAGCCAATTCAAATGAGTCCAAAGTCCACCCTTTGCTTTTCAATGAAGATGGGCAACAGCTCTCTCCCATTCAGATGTCCCACTCCCAAGTGGTTTAGAATCATAATCATAGAGTTGGAAGAGATCTCAGTCCAACCCGCTGCCAAGAAGGAGGAAAATCACAAAGCACCCCCGACAAATGGCCAGCCTCTGCTTAAAAGTGTTGTGGCTCAACTGGAGCCTCAGGCAGAAGATGATGGGATTCTGATTTCTGTTGTTTTTGATGAAGATTTCCCATGGTAAGGAATGTTTCAGATGATGTTTCTGATGTTAGTGAAACTAGCCAGGTGCAGTTGGAGGAGGATGGCTCCCAGCCTGACGATTCTCAGGCGGCTAACAAGCTATCCGACCTTGAGAGCTCTGAAGATCTAGATAGGGAGGATTGCTTACAATTCAAAGTTCGCCGGCAGTGCGAGGCTTGCTAACAAGAGGGAGGTTAGGGGTCAACGGAATGCGTTCATGTTGGGAAAGTATAGTGACAGGGGTGTTTGAAGGGAAATCTTTGTCAGTGCAACTTCTGCAAACAACCTGGTAACTTCTTTGGATTGTCTTAGCTTTGGGGCAATGTTCTTGGCTTCCTGGGACTCTGTCATGCTGTCATGGAATCTTGTTTGACCGATGTTCTTTGGATTATGCATTCTAGTCACCAGGGCAGCAAAAAACAAACTTGTTCCCTCCTCCCTAGGACTTCTCCTCACATCTTGATCCATGGCCCTCATTATGTCTCCTTCTCAGCCTTCTCTTCTTCAGGCTAAACATGCCCAGCTCTTTAAGCCCCTCCTCATAGTGCTTGTTCTCCAGACCCTTGATCATAGAATCATAGAATTATAGAGTTGGAAGAGACCTCATGGACCATCCAGTCCAAGTCCCAAGAAGCAGGAAAATCCCATTCAAAGCACCTTGACAGATGGCCATCCAACCACTGCTTAAAAGCTTCAAAGAAAGAGCCTCTACCACACTCCAGGGCAGAGAGTTCTACTCTTTTTACAGTTAGAAAGTTCTTCATGTTCAGGTGGAATCTCCTTTCCTGTAGTTTGAAGAGTCCTAGTCTCCAGGGCAGCAGAAAACAAGTCTTCTCCCTCCTCCCTATGACTTCCCCTCACATCTTGACACATCTTCTGCAGCCTAAACATACCCAGCTCTTTCAGCTGCTCCTCATAGGGCTTGTTCTCCAGACCCTTGATCATTTTAGTCGCCCTCCTCTGGACACATTCCAGGTTAGAGTCAACATCTCCCTTCAGTTCCGGTGCCCAGAATTGGGCACAATGTGATTCCAGGTGTTGTCTGACCAACCCTCCAGTCAGCAGCTTTACCTGCAGCTAGCAGTTTGAACCACTGTGCTACCGCAGCCCCCACACTTTCTGTGTCTGTGAGAATAGGATTTTGCAAAATTTGGCTTGATGTGGAAGCAAGAATTGGTGATAAAGCTTTATTGGAGGACCCTTTTCCCCATAATAACTCTTCCAGCAGTGGATTTCCCTTCTGAGGTCAAGATTTCTCTCATTTCCTGATCTTCTTCCCCCCCCCCCCCGCCCCCTGGTTCTTAACTAGAAGTCATTTGTAAGTTGGATGCTTGTAACTTCGGGACGGCCTGTATTCCCAAATCTGGAAGAATTCGAAATATGAAACAATTCCAGCGCCAAGGATTTTGGATAAGAGATACATAAAATGTATTATTTTCTTTACCTTCTTGTCCAACAGAAGCTCAAAAGCAGCCAAGAGCTCACCAGCCTCTGTCTGTTCCTTTGTGATCCGAAGCTTCTGCAGACGGGGCATTCTCCGCAAACTGAGGTCCAAATACACCCTGGGAATACTCAGACACCTCCCTATGAAATGCTCAGAACGGCCCTAAAAAAACAACCCAGAAACACAATGCCAAATGGTTGCATCTACATTATGGAATAGATGCAGTTGTGCACCACTTGAACTGCAACGGCTCAATGCTATGGAATCCTGGGAGCTCTAGCTTGATGAGACCTTTTACCGTAGGGTCGGCATCCACGATTTCAACGGCCACCACTGGTGGATCCTCCTCGGTTGCCCGCGGATCTCCATAGATCAAGATGTTGTCAAAGATGAGAGTCTGGTCCCATAATGGATGCAGCGTGCCATGGACAGTCTTGGTGCATTGACTTGTGTGAACGAAGGAAATGTGGGCCACTGGATCTGATGGGGAGACAAAAGGGCAACTAATGGGTAGACTGGCACTTGGGATTTAAAGATTGCCTTTACATTTTATAGGTATGATGTTGATTGAGTCTTCAGCCTATGAGTTTATATGGTTTGAGTCTCTTGGGCTTTGAAGATGGGCGAGACATATTATAGCGCTCAGACTGAATTTGACCAGGCATGAGCAAACTTGTTAACTTGGGGGCCGCACGCTAGCACTCCCTGCTAGGAGGACTGGCTAACCGTTTGGTTTTTTGTTGTTGTTGGTTTTTTTTTTGTCATCTCAGGAGCGACTTGAGAAACTGCAAGTCGCTTCTGGTGTGAGAGAATTAGCCATCTGCAAGGACATTGCTCAGGGGACGCCGGATGATTTGATGTTTTTATCATCCTTGTGGGAGGCTTCTCTCATGTCCCCGCACGAGGAGCTGGAGCTGATAGAGGGTGCTCATCCACCTCTCCCCGGATTCGAACCTGTGGGTTTAACCTACTGTGCTACCAGGGGCGGCTAACCAGTAATGGAAGGAAGGAAGGAAGGAAGGAAGGAAGGAAGGAAGGAAGGAAGGAAGGAAGGAAGGAAGGAAGGAAGGCCGAAAGGGAGGAAGGGACAGATGGAAGGAAAAAGAGGGGAAGAGAGAAGGAAGGGAGAAAAGTAAGGAGGAAGGAAAGACAAAAGGGAAGGAAGGATGAAAGGTGAAAGGGAGGGAGGGAGGGAGGGAGGGAAGGAAGGAAGGAGAAAGGAAGGGCAGGATAAAGGAGAGAGAAAAGGAAGGAAAGAGAAAAGGGAATGATGAATGGAAGGAGAAAGAGAGGGGGAAGGAAGGATGGATGAAAGGTTGGAAGGGAAGGATGGAAGGAGAAGGAGGGAGAAAGAGGGAAGMAAGGAGGAAGGAAGGAAAGAAGGAAGGAGAAAAGGGAAGGGAGGGAGGAAGAAAGGGAAGAGAGGGACGGAAGGAAAGACAGAAGGGTGGAAAGGGAGGGAGYAAGGAGGAAGAAGGATGGAAGGGTGGAAGGGGGAAGGGGGTGGAAGGGGGAGGAAGGGGAAGGAGAAAGGGGGAGGGAAGGAGGAAGGAAAGAGAGAAGGAAGGAAGGATAGGATGGTGAGAGAGAGGAGGGCCTGAGAAAAGAGCCCAAGGGGCTGCATCCAGCCCCTCGGCCTGGGTTTGCCCATATCTGCACTAGACTATACAACCCAAGATTCAAGAAGCCATTGCCATTGCAGGGAAAGCAAAATCATATTATAGTGTGAAAAGTCCATTTGTCTTTAAGTCAGAGAAACGTAATCCATAAGGAAAACAAGGGAAGCCTGGACCAGTTTAAGAAAAGAGTTTGGATAAATACGCAACTAGAATCAAAACCAAAATAATTATAATTGAAAACTCTTGATCCAGCATGACCCCCTTATCTACGGTTTCATTTATGCACTTCCAACAAAGTATGTTATCTCTAGGCATTTTCTATGCCATCTAGCACAACTATGGCATTTCTTGGTTCAGGACTTTTTCATTTCAATAGGGATTATTATTGTTGTGGATATTATTATTATTATTATTATTATTATTATTATTATTATTATTATCTTCTGGGAAGGCCCTGCTCTCAATCCCACTTCCCTCACAAGCACAACTGGTGAGGACGAGAGACGGGGCCTTCTCAGTGGTGGCCCCTCAACTATGGAACTTCCTCTCTAGTGAAATTAGAGCAGCCCCTTCCCTCCTGACCTTCAGGAAGAAAGTAAAAACATGATTATGTGACCAAATGTTCGGACAGCAAAGCTCGTTGTACAATAAGATAATAAGGAATGTCAGTCTGAATTCGGAAGTCCCAGAGTAGTTTGATGTGTTTATTTTCTGTAACCTTTTAAGGCTTGTGATCCCACCAGTTCTTTGTTGCATGCAGAAGGTCTTTGTGGCATGAGATCCAATGGATCTTCTCTGCTTGTAGTCTGTCTGTGCGATCTTCTTGCTGCAGCTGAGGATCTGATCCGTCGTTTTGTCTGCTTCCTTGCAGAGTTATGGCATTCTTTCTAATTGTATTATTATTATTATTATTATTATTATTATTATTATTATTATTATTATTATTATTATATATAATGGGGGGTCACAAACCTGCAGAGCTCTTGGTGGAAGCTCCTACAAGATCCCGTGCTTGGTAAATGTAGCACCGTAACTGGAAATAGACAGGACCTGAAAGAAGGAGACTTGATGTGAGTTTTGCTTCTAGAAAGCCAGATTGAGTCTCTTTTGTGGAGAGGAAAAGCAGGGTATAAATAAACATAATACGAATCATTATAATAATTCTCATACCATTCAGACTAATGCATTTTGGGGATCTTAGTCTGCCCCCAAATTCCAGCTCCTTCTAACTGTAAACTGAGGGTGTATTTACACGATAGAATTAATGCAGTTTCACACCACCTTAACTGCTCTGGCTCAATTCTGTGGTTGTGGAAGTTGTAGTTTTGCAAGGTCTTCAGCCTCCTCTGCCAACGATAGCTGGTGCTGCACCAAACTACAACTCCAGGAGTCCATAGCACTGTGCCATGGTGGGTGAAGTAGTCCCAAACTAGATTAATTCAGCAGTGTAGATGCCTCACTTTTGAAAATGCAGTAAAGGAGAGGCGTGTTCATCTTCAAGAGGCTCTGAGAGGGCTGTTTCTCAACTTCTTTCCCCTCTTTCTTCTCGTCTTTCTTCTCGGCTTCCCCTTTTCTCTTTTTCCCTTCCTCCTCTACTTCCACACCCTGAAAAAGAGGGACAGAATAATCAAAATATTACTTGAGAAATTTTTGGTGTTGTTGTTGATGTTTTGTCTAATTGAACAAAATGAGGCAGAGATAGCCAATGCATGTGATGCTAAGGGCTGCACCTCATAAAGAAGCTGAATATTTTCATTGTATTATTATAATTAATCATTATTAATAATTGTATTATTATAATTAATCATTATTATATGCTCTTAAGAGATTAAAAGCAGCTGCTTTTAAGATGGGAGGAAGGAAGCCCATCATAACTTTTGAATAATTTATTTTATTGTTTTTAGGTGAAGCATGGTAGGCAGGCCCGTAGCCAGGATTTCGATTTGGGGGGACGGGGACGGGGACGGGGACTGAGTTTGTTTGGGGGGGGGGGGCTGAGTCTGAGTGAAAGAGGGTCTACCCTAGCAAACCTTTTGTATCGTTACCCCAATACCCCCATGCATATGGGATATATTGATTATGGTGATCAAATCATGATATGAATAAACATAACAGTTTAAATATTGCACCAGTAAGGCCTTTTCGTGAACCACCATGAGAATTTCGGGGGGGGGCTGAAGCCCCCCAAGCCCCCCCCCCCCCGGCTACATGCCTGATGTAGGTAAAGATTTTCCCTGACATTCAGTTGCGTCCAACTCTGGGGGTTGATGCTCATCTGCATTTCTAAGTTGAAGAGTGGGTATTGTCTGTAGACACCTCCTAGGTCATGTGGCTGGCATGACTGCATGGAGCGCCGTTATCTTCCTGCTGGAGCAGTACCTATTGATCCACTCACATTTGCATGTTTTCAAACTGCTAGGTTGGCAGAAGCTGGGTCTGACTGGAAGCTCACACTGCTCCCCGAATTTGAACTTGTCAAATTCAGTTAACAAGCTCAGCATCTCAATGGCTTAACCTACTGCGGGGCTCCATGGAGGGAGTTAATATTAGTGTTAGAAAAGTACGTAATGAATTTATGATTGAAGAATGATACCTATATGACTGGAAAAAAATTGTCAGAAATATTTAGGAATAACGAGGTATTTTTAATTACAAAAATGTGAGTCAAGCACTGAAAGGGTTAAATAGATACAATGATTAAAAGCTGCAGTTCTATATAAGCAGGTGTGCCTGTAGCTTAGTATTCTTCAGTGTTAGTTGTGCTCAGTATGAAGAGGCTTCAATCTGAGAGATGCCTCAGTCTGAGAGAGGCCTGAGCGTGAGGGCTACTGGTGCTGGGTCACGCTGCTGCTATATGTTTATGAGGAGGGTCTTTTGTTATTAAGTCCACTTAATCCCACTTGCCCAACAAAAATCTAATTATATGAGATAAATAAAAGGAAGTCCCATGAATTCTGCACCAAGAAAAGTTTAAATCTTCTAATTCCATTTATGCATGTTTGTATAGTTTTTGTTAGGGCTAGCAGAAGAATCGCGGAAGCACTGAATAATGGACTCTGGAATCACCGATAAAAGCAGGTTTCAGCTTTACTTGAGCAGTTCATAAAACCAACACACACCATCAGCGAGCAGACGCGAAGAACACAAACCGAAAGAGATAGACACTAAAGACAAACTGCAGCTGGAAAGGAGTTATCTCTGACACTCCCTAATTCTCCACAGAGCAAGAACTCAGGGTCACATTCTCACAGCTCTTTTGTGTAAACATACATTCTGGCAATACAATTCTATTACAGTCTATTACAATCACAAACCTATCACATAAAATTGCATTTAAACATACATCATACATAATACATGAAATACACACTGACAGTTTATGCATAAAGGCTTACTTTTTATCTTATCTTACACTGATAACACAATGTAACAAGATCTGGAAAAAAATTATGTTCCTGGTTTGAAAGTGTTTAAGTGTGCGGAACTTACTTGGAAAGTAGTTCACAGAACAATAGAATCATAGAAGCATAGAGTTGGAAGAGACCTCGCGCGCCAGCCCATCCAACCCCTGCCAAGAAGCAGGAAAATTGCATTCCAAGCATCCCTGAGAGATGGCTACTCAGCCTCTGCTTAAAAGCCCCCAAAGAAGGAGCCTCTACCACACTCTGGGGCAGAGAGAGAGTTCCAATGCTGAACAGCTCTCACAGTTAGGTAGTTCTTCCTGGTGTTCAGGTGGAATCTCCTTTCCTGTAGTTTGAAGTCATCCTAGTCTCCAGGGCAGCAAAAACAAGCCTGCTCCCTCCTTCCCGTGGCTTCCCCTCACATCTTGATCCATGGCCTTCAACATGTTTCCTCTCAGCCTTCTCTTCAACAGGTTAAACATGCCTAGGTCTTGAAGCTGCTCCTCATAGGGCTTGTTCTCCAGACTCTTGATCATTTTACATAGTGTAATTTCTCTCTGCTTTTTTCTGCTCTTGGGTAGTTTATTTTGCCATCTCCTTTTTGGGTTGCATTTGCACTATTAATGCAGTCTGATCCCACTTTTGCTGCCATGGCTCAATGCTATGGGATCTTGGGAGTTGTAGTTTAGCGTAGCATCAGCAGTCTTGGGCAGAGAAGGCTCAAGACCTTGTAAAACCACCAGCATCTCACAGCTTTGACCTACAGCAATCCAAGTGGGGCCAAACTGCATTCATTCTACAGTGCAGATGAACCCTATGCCGGGGCTAGGTTTCTGCTTACCAGTGAGCCCTCCAAGTGGAAGATAGGGGCCCCATGGCTGGGTGCTACAGGGACGAGTTTCCTTCGCCAACATCTCCGCCGAAACACGTCACCAGGAAGCTGCTGCAGGTGGAACCGCCAACCCACCAAGGGTGCATATTCCCATGTTTCCGGTTTCACCTTGGTATCTGAGTGCTGAAAGAAATGGGAGACGTGAGAAGCAGCCAAGGAAACCAAAGGGCCGGTCAATGAGATATACCAGCCTTCCTTCTCCAATGCCTTATTTTATAAAATCCTAGAGTTAGAAGGGGCCTGAAGGGCCATCCGGTCCAATCTCATTTCATCATGCAGAAGGACACTATCCAAGCCCTCTCAATGTGATAAATGTGATGTATAGTAATGAAATTGTATGATTGGAGTCTGGCAATAATAAGAATTGCCAGATTGGGCTCTGGCAGAATAATGAAGTCTGGAAAACTGCAAAAGGAGATGAAGAATTCATGAACTGCTGAACTATGATTTAACAGTTGCTGATTAGAACTGCTGATATTACTGACACATTGACCTGTGGTTGAAAACAACATGTTTACATAGTCAAAGACAGGACCTCTTTAAATTAAGGAAGTTGACTGCTACATCACACTATTGGGTCATGTTCAGCTTGTGGTCTACTAAGACTCCAAAATCTCTTTCCACATGGATGGTGGTGAAGCCCAGTGTCACCCATCCTTCTTGAATTGGGGTGCCCAGAACTGTGTCATTTTCCAGGTGGACAAGATAGGTATCAAAGGCAATTACCAGCCGAAGGAAAGCCATCATTTTGTTCTCCTGCGTCTCTTTGTTCAAGTCTCGGCAGCGTTTGCGGAGCCAGCGCCGACGCCGGTGAGTGTGGTAGGTCTTTTCAGTCATGTTCCAGGTGCGAGGAAACTCGGCTGGTGGGATACCAACCCCATATTCCCACCCTAAACAAGGGAACAATTTGTTTGAACTACAGTGAGCAAAATATGGGCTACTCTAGGCCAGTGGTTCCCCACCATTGGTCCCTCAGGTGTTTTGGATTTCAGTTCCCTGAATTCCCAACTCTTCATCAAGCTAGATGGATGTTCTGGGAGATTGAGTCCCAGAATCTGGATGGCCAAAGGTTGGAAACCACTGCTCTTGAGGGTAAGGGGAACATTTTGGCCAATGCTGGGGTCTAACCAAACAGAGGATTCATGTACACTGTCAAATTAATGCATTTGACAGCATTTTAACTGCCATGGATCAATTCTACGGCCTCACCACAACTCCTAGGATTCCATAACATTGAGTCATGGCAGCAAGTGGTGTGTGCATTAATTAGACCATTGGTCTTAACCTGGTCCCCAGATGTTTTGGACTTCAACTGTCAGAAATCTGAACGGCTGGTAAACAGGCTGGGATTTCTTGGAGTTGTAGGCCAAAAGACCTGGGGACCCACAGGTTGACAACCACTGAGTTAGACAGTGCAGATGCACTCAGAAACAGACTTGCCGGCATCATCCACGGCCCGGTTCAGCTCCACTTTCCACTCTTCCACAAAGCTCCATCCTTTGGGGCACTCAATATCTTCTTTTGGGGGCAAAGGAATCCCACTCTAAAGAAAAACAGGAGAGAAAGATAAATAGAAGAAGATTGAGTAGGTCCTATGCAGGTGCATATGACCTACCTGAAACGGGAACTTGGCCTCCTCCAAATTCCCATCTCAGCCCAAGAGGTCTATCCTTCTGACCGCAGCGCCGCCTCCCTTTGCCACTCACTGCGTTACTGAATGGGATGGAGGCCGGGCTCCACGGCTGCCTGGGCTCCCGACTTTGGTTTTCATAGACCTCCACCAACACTTCAGAGAGATTTGTCTCTTTGTCCAACAACAATCTGATTTCAAGCAGAATCGGAAAAGGTTTCAGTGATATTGCCATTCATACCAACTTCTCCCACTATTTGTGTGACTCTATGGTCAGCTTCCAATGGATGGAAGGTGCAGGAGGATGTAATGATTCCATTTCTTGGGCATTTATAGTCATCTAATACATTTCTATGGTCAACATTTGATAGACATGGGCCATACAGTTGTGCAGGAAGGTAGAGACGTTCCAAAAGAAAGCATTTTCCTAGGCATTTGTGCATCCTCCAATGTGGCTCTATGGTCAGCCTCTTATTGGACATGGACTACAGGGTTCTGCTGAAAAATCTAGAGATTCCTAAGAATCTAAAAATAGTGGTTTGAAATGTAACCCACTTTTGGGGGTTCCTGCACCCCTAACCCCCATAAAAGTGGAGACCCGAATATATATAGCTCATGAGGGGGTTGGGGAGGATCTGGCTCTTGGTGCTTATCCCTATTGTAAAATAAGGATCTCATTCACATAGACATTGAGAAACGTTGGTGTCCATATGCTTAATAAAGGGAATTGTACTTTTAGATTCCCATTCGTCTTTGTTTCAAGTTCTTATTTCTCAAGTCACACTTATTTCTCGTCAGGTTTTTGTCCTTTGTTGCCCATGTTTGGAACCATCCCACAGGGAATACGCTTCTCCACCCTCTCCATATAATTTTAATCGGGGAAAACTTTAATATCTGAAAGCCAAGAGACCTCTTACCCTGCCCAAAGCCAGTAAAGGAAGACACATTTCTAAAAATATTCTTTTCATGGGATCCCTTGCACTCCCCCAAAGTCCTGAGGAGGCTGTGTCTCCTCCCCTGTCATAGTTCTACAAATCTCCTTTCAATGGAATCTTCTGTTTGAATTATTCCCCTTGAGGAGACCTGCAGATTTTCTCCCTCTAGAGCAGTGTTTCTCAACCTTCCAAATGCTGCGACCCCTTCATACAGTTCCTCATGTTGTGGTGACCCCCCAACCATAAAATTATTTTCGTTGCTATTTCATAACTGTCATTTTGCTACTGTTATGAATCGTCATGTAAATATCTGAGATGCATGGTGTATTCACTGGACCAAATTTGGCAGAAATACCAAGTATATGCCCACATTTGAATACTGGTGGGGTTGGGTAGGACTGATGTTGTCATTTGGGAGTTGTAGTTGATGGGATTTATAGTTCACCTACAATGAAAGAGCATTCTGAACTCCACCAATGATGGTATTGAACCAAACTTGGCACACAGAACTCCCATGACCAACAGAAAATACTGGAAGAGTTTGGTGGGCATTGACCTTGAGTTTTGGAGTTGTAGTTCACCTACATCCAGATAGCACTGTGGACTCAAACAACGGAGCTGGACCAAACTTAGCATGAATATTCAGTATGCCCAAATGTTACTCAATATGCACCAGGATTGTGGCGCAGTTGGCTGAGTGTCAGCTGCATTAAGATCAGTCTGACCTTTTCAGCCCGCAGAGCCTTTTTGACCCAAAAGTTTCTTGTGGAGCCCAAGAAATAGGTTGCTTACTGTTTGGTTGTTTTATGATGTCTTAGATTGTATTGGTTTTATTGATTGTTATATGTTTTTAATTGTGTTATTTTGTAACCTTGTTTACATGGGCTTAGTCCCCATGTAAGCCGCCCTGAGTCCCTTCAGGGAGATGGAGGTGGGATATAAGAATAAAGTTGTTGTTATTGTGTGTGTGTATATATATATCCATTAGGCACGAGTCAGGCCAATGGCAGATGGATGGAGAGTGTTTGTGTGAACTAATTCACACAGTGCAATATATGCAATATTGAAAATGAAGAACAATTTTACCCAACATAAACTTAACAGGATTTTAATGGAAGACCCAAGGGGTATTATTATTATTATTATTATTATTATTATTATTATTATTAACATCAGTGGATTGTGCTTCTGAAAAAAGAATCTGGAGTTGTTATTGTTGTTGTGACTGGAAGTAGGCAAACACCATATGATGGGCTCCATGCCTCTGCATCCTTGAAATGAAGATGAAGTGGCCTGCAACAAGAAAAAAGAACCATGTGATGAGGTCATAAGACAAAAGTTTGTGTATAAGCTCACCTTCTTTGGGGCTCCACAGCCCATTCTCCATCCCACTTCCAACCGAGTGGTGGCTGGAACTTGTCTCTAGGGAGACTGATTTGTCCAGTGACATCCGAAAAGTTGGGATGGGGCAACAAGTCCCTGGTCCCCCAAATGCCATGGGTCTTCTTTTGGTTCTCATACTGAAAGGAAGAAGAAAGGTAGAAAACAATAATCATCAAGAACAACACTCGGCATCCTCAAACCGTGGCCCTCCAGGTGTTTGGGCCTCCAACTCCCAGAACCAACTGGGAACCCAATGCTCAGGAATGCTGGGAGTTGGAGGCTAAAACAGCTGGAGGGTCGCAGTTTAAGGATGCCTGGTATGTACTAACCACAACCAGGCATGTCGCCGGGGGGGGGGGGGGCGTGGGGGGTGTTTAAGGTTCACCTGACACCCCCCCCCCCCCCGATTATAACACTTCCAGGAGTGGATTTACCCTTCCTTCTGAGGGGAAGATTTTTCTCACTTCCTGTTGGCTTGGCCCCATTCTGAACTAGTTGTTTGTGTCAAAAATATTAAAAATTAACTAGGTATTTTTAATTACAAAAAATTGAGTCAAGCACTGAAAGGGTGAAATGGATGCAACGACTCAGCAAAAGCTGTAGTTCAATATAAGCAGGTGTGCCTGTAGCTTAGTAGCCTCAGTCTGTGAGAGGTCTCTGTGAGAGAAGGGCCTCAGTGTGTTAGTAGCCCTCTGTATGAGAAGGGCTCAGTTCGCCTCAGTGGGAGAAAGGCGTCAGTCTGAGAGAACTCTCAGTGTGAGAAGGCTTCAGTGTGAGGTAGGCCTCAGTGTGAGGTAGGCCTCAATGTGTTAGTAGCCCTCAGTAAAAGGCCTGGTGCGAGAGGCTTCTGTGAGAGAAGCCCCAAGTTGAAGGCCATTGTGTGTGAAGATCCATTGTGAAGGCTGTTGTGTGTAAAGCTCCTGTGTGATGCTCCTGTGTAACTTCAGTCTGAGAAGTGGCTCTGTGAGCGTGAAGCTATTTATTTGCATGAGAAAGAAGCCCAGCATGGAAGCAAAGAACAAAGTATAAAGATATTTGTGTTATGGAAATCTTGTTCTTGTAAATACTACAAAGAAAAGCCTCCTTAAGAAGAGATAACATTGGTCTGTGTGTTTTTGTTCTTATTATCATTTTGGGCTACTGGTGCTGGGTCACTCTGCTACTGATAAGTTACTCTGCTGTACATTTATGAGGAGGGTCTTTTGTTAATAAGCCCACGCGCACAACAGTTTGTATGTCAGATATTTGTAACTCAGGGACTGCCAGTGTATGGCATTGTCCATCCACTCCTCCTGCAAGCAACTGGATGAACAGACATAGCAACAGATCAAAGGTTACATAGTAAGCTTTGTGGTTGGATATCAAAGCTGCCCCCACCGTCTCAGCATAGACAAGGATGGGGCTTTCGCAGCATTTCATAAACTCGGCGCTGTCAGTCATTTGGCCGAGCCACATTCGCACCCGGAGCACAGCAGGGACGGGATTGGGTTTTTCTTTGGTTTGTGGACCCTGCAAAAGCAATGAGAAAAGTGAGAAAGCCTTAGAGTACAGACACGCAAATGGCAGAGGAACTGAGAAGAGTTCCTGTTGCATATTGCCCAATTTCAGCTCTTACCTTTGACAGCTTTGTTGGGTAGGTTTTCTAGCTCCTATCACAATTGATTCTTGAAGGTCTCAAAACACATCCACAATGTCAAATGAAAGCAGCTAGACACCACTTTAACTGCGATAGAATCCCAGAGTTGCAATTTGGTGAGGCACCAGTACTATTTGCAGAGAAGGAGAAAGCCCTTCTAAAACTATGACTCTCAGCTGGTGCCAAATTGCATAATACAACAGTGTAGATTCATCCTCGGGTTTGGAAGTTTGGAACTAGGAGGAATATTTTGGCTATTGCTCTGATTTCACTCCCTTAAAAAAGACTAAATTTTTAAAAAGACTAGTTCAAGCTTTTGAAAACTAAAACTCAAATCTGTATATGAACCCACACGATCTCTTCAATCATCTGGAGAGGCCCTGCTTGCGCTTCCACCTGCATCGCAGGCACGTTTGGTGGGGATGAGAGAGATAGCCTTTTCGATGGTGGTCCCTTGACTCTGGAACTCCTTCCTAAGGATATCAGGCATGCCACAACTCTGGCAGTCTTTAGAAGGAGCTTGAAGATGTGTTTGTCCCAGTGTGCCTTCCCAGGGTCAAACTGGGCACAATTTGATTTTAATTGCTTGTATTGTTGTTATTATTGCTTGTATTGTTGTATTGGGCTCGGCCTCATGTAAGCCGCACCGAGTCCCATGGGGAGATGGTAGCGGGGTATAAAAAAAGTATTATTATTATTATTATTATTATTATTGTTATTATTATTATTCTACAGTGCAACACACTCAATGACTCTTTCATGTTTTTAAAAAATGGACATGATTTGCTGAGATGATCTTATAGTTTGAAGGTGGGTTAAATCAGGCTTTAGAACAGTGGGTTGAACTGCCAGCTGCAGAAAATCTTGCCAATCTAAAGGTCGACAGTTCAAGAGTGGGTGAGCTTCCAACCATCAGCCCAGCTTAACTTCGCAGTTCAAAAACAGTGATGTGAGTAGATAAATAGGTACTGCTTTGGCAAGGTGGTAATAAAAGGTGCCCATGCGGACATGCCAGCAATCTGATTGGGAGAGCATGTAAAGACAACAAAACTCCTCAGCATGGAAGATGGAGCGACAGCACCCCCATGTGGCCAGAGTTGAGCACTGCCAGCCACAGGGGGTTGTTGGTGCTCCATCCACTGTGAAGACAAGCTCTTTGTGTTCCGTCTTCCAGGAGCATAGTTTGCATTACCTTTTAGTTGCATGATATAGTGTTCTTTTGCATTTCCCACCAGCACCCTGGAAGTTAAATAGTATCAGAGTCTGCAAAGCCAGCCTGCAGGCCCTTTTGCAGCTATTGGTTTAGAAAAGTATCTCTTTGGGTCTAGGGACCGCCTTTTTTCTGGGTTGAGATCTCCATTTTGGAATCCCCTGTCTCCTTCAGTAGAGAAGAAAGCTTCAGATGTGCTGTTGGTTAGGCAGGTAACTCTGAAAAAACCATTGTAAGAACAATTGAGATACTGATTAAGATATAAGGAAGCTAATTGAGTTATAGATAATTGATTATATAGATAAAGAAGCTAATTGAGATAGATAGAATAGCAATCGAGTAATTGAGCAACTGAGTTATAGATAGATATTGAGTTATTGAGAAATAGTTATTGAGCACTATTTGCTTCATCTCCAAAACTAACCTTGGGCTGGAATAGGGAAGGCCTACGCTTTCTAAAAGATAGTGGCTCAGGGTTGGGGTAAAAAGATCTCAGGATTTTTTCTACCATTTGGATGAAGGCAGCTCAGCGACTAGAGGAAAAAGGAAAGAAAGAACATCTCTGTGGTTTCACCAATTGACTGTTTTGTTTGTAACCTTGAAAAGCTATGCCAAGTCTGCAAGGACTTTGAGAAATAAATATTCTGTTTTGTTCAAAACCTGTAGTAGCCTCAGTTGCTGGAAATCCCAAGCTTCTAAAGAAAGACCCCTGCGGTCCGCCCAGACAAAGAGAGAAGCACATCTTAATTTTATTTTTATAGGGTCTGAGTGTGACGGCACACTTTGATTGCAGACTTTTTCCTCCTTGACCTTTGATTGCTGGCATTTTATGGTGCCGTAAATTACCTCCCCATTTAAACGATGCCTTATTTCTCTACTCACAGCTCAGCTGCTTTTGAACTGCTTAGGTGGACAGTGAGCTGGGCTGACGTTCAGGTGTTCACTCCGTTTCAGGTTTTGAACTGCCAACCTTCCGACTGGCAATGATCTATTGCTGCTGATTATTAACCATCTGTGCTAATTGATAATGTTGTATATTTTATTGTCTATGTTTTATTTTAATTGCTTGTACTGTTGAGACACCTTTCCCCCCTGATTATAACACTTCCAGGAAGTGTTGTATTGTTGTATTCGGCCTCGGCCTCATGTAAGCCGCACCGAGTTCCTTGGGGAGATGGTAGCGGGGTACAAATAAAGTGTTGTTGTTGTTATTATTATTATTATTATTATTATTATTATTATTATTACCCAGGCCATAGGATTCCATAGGAATTGGGTTATGCCTGTGGAAAGCAGGAAACTTGCAGAGTAATGAGAAAGGCACCTTCTTTACCTGCATGAAGACAGTCTGGGTCTTGCCACACAATCTTCCTCTGGCCTGAGCACTGGCTTTGGAGAACAGGATGGAATGTGACTTCACCCGTGCATAGGCCACCCTGTTATCATCACACAGCATCCAAATCAACACGTCCGGGATGCAGATTTGGGTCTGTAAACAACAAAAAAAAACCCAAAATAGGATAGTCACTGGTGTCCAAATTGCCTTTATTCATTTAAAACAAAGATGGAAAAAATGCAGAACTGGGGCCATGGCTGACTTGTTGCTATGTTTGCATTTCGGTCTTATGCCTATTCCTTTTAATACAGTAGACTCTCAATGCTCAAGCAACCGGCAAAAATAGCATAATAATAATAATAATAATAATAATAATAATAATAATAATAATAATAATACAACAACCTTTATTTATATTCCTCCTCCACTAGGGGTCTCAAAGTGGATTACAGTATTTTTACATACACAGGCAAATATTCAATGCCTTTACAATAATATACAATGGGACAGACAAACCCAAAAAGGCAGAGACTTCTCCTTTCATTTCCAGCTTCTATTTTCAAGCTGAGGTACCTGTGTTGTTACCTCCTGGTTGTGTGGCCGGCAAGATTGCCTGGAACATCAGGCTCACCCTGTCGCGCAGATTCGAACTGCCAACCATCAGATCAGCAATTCAGCCAACCTTCAGGTCAGCAGTTCAGCAGCACAAGGGTTATAAATAATAATAATAATAATAATAATAATAATAATAATAATAATAATAATAATAATATCAAAGAAATACTTTCAGTAAGAATTAAAATAAAATCAGCTACAACAAAACTGTTTAACATGTTTGTCTTATATGTGTCCTAATTTGCTTTTAATGACTGTATTTAAATACAGGCAATCCCCAAGTAACAAACATTGAACTTGAGAGTTACTAATAAAAATGGGCTTAACTAATGCTACAACATCCCATACTATAGCATAAACTCTGCATTGACTTGATATTAATATTCAAATACAGTCATAGGTGTCCCCGGTGATGAAATAGGCAGGACTGCTCACCAAAAGGTCAGTGGTTCGAAATCCAGGGAGAGGGGTGAGCTCCTGTTTGTTTGTCAGCTCCAGCTTCTCATGCAGGGACATGAGAAAAGCCTCCTATAGCATGGTAAAACATTTGGGCATTCACTGGGCAATGCCCTTGCAGATGGCCATTTCATTCACACCAGAAGCAACTTGCAGTTTCTCAACTCGTTCAAGACACGAAAAAAAAATGTTAGCTGGTTTTTCCCATCTTTTATCAGAAGTTTTATGGCCTAGCTTTGTCGACCAGTTTTCTATTCCCAATTACCTCACCCTTTGCGCTTAGCAAAACAATTCATTAATCCATTCTTTGAAGCTTCATTAAGCTGCCCCATTTGGAGGCTGCTACTATTAAGGCAAATTTAATATAGCACAGTTTTAGTGTATTACAAAATAATCTTTGAATTATTCTATTTTTTACCAGTTGCTTGAAAGTTCCGATTAACTGAGAGTCTACTGTACATTGTTTTGCAATGTCTTTTGGAGGTGTGCAACTCAATTCCAATGGACAGGATATGGATGAAGGGAAGGGTCAAATGCTAGTCTGTCTATATCTAAAACCGGAGGAGCATCTTCCTTGGCCACACCTCTGTGGCGGCCACAGCAATCCTGCTCAGCCAGGTCTCTGCTTTGCTGATGAGTTTCTTCAATGGATTCTTCCAACTTGTCTTGTCAGCCGCCTTGCTGACTTGGTGGAGGAGCCGAATGCGCAGTTTCCGAAGCTGCAGGTCGAGAAAAGTGGCTGGCGCTTTGCCTCCTGTGCTGGGAAGTGGTCGTCTGACCGGATGAGAGAAAAGCTAGTTTGCATCAAGGTTTATCTTCTAAATGTGCCTTCTTGCATACCTAATGCAGTCCTGCTTCTAGAAACTGGTGAATGCTCACTGAGTACTAGGGCCTGGACTCTGAAAATGAACTTATAGTTAAAAGCAATGGTATTCAAACTGGGAACAGGTTTACTACATCACCTCCGTTATGAAGTCTCCAAACCCCTTTGGGCATGGACCGAACAAAAAGCAGCCTCAATTGGACTATTCACATCCCTTCTGCTCCATTTGGGACTCAAAATTGCAAAAGAATCCCTGAAGCAAAGGTTGTGAGGCTTTTCCCTGGGAGAGCTTAAGAGTCCACTCAAATTCACCATGCTTCCCGAGAGTCCTAAATTTAACATACAGGGAGCCATTTAAGACATGCAAATACCTAAAAAGCTTTACAACGACTAAATATTGCAGGCTCTTTACAAGGGCAAGATTAAACATATTTCCCTCAGAGCTGCTAAGAAGCAGAATGTCTGGAATCTCTTACTCCCAAAGACTATGCCTCTGAGGAGAAAATGAAATAGAAACACTGGGAAGCATTTTATTGCAGTGCCGCAACTACAAAGTGTAATGTAGCCAACTTTTATATCCAATCCTGTCTTGCATGACCAGCCGTCTTCCACAGAGGATTGTTAGATATCTTTTTGAGAACAAGAGTCACAGGGTGACTCTCATAGTGGCAAAATTCCTCGCAGTGGCAACAAGGCTGAGAAAGCAACTAACCTCCGATAGGGGTATTACTTGAAACCATGTAGATCAGTGTTTCCCAGCCTGGTGGTCAGGACCCCCGGAGGGGTCGCAAGGGGGTGTCAGAGGATTCACCAAAGACCATCAGAAGAAATAGTAATTTTTGTTGGTCGTGGGGTTTCTGTGTGGGAAGTTTGGCCCAATTCTATCGTTGTTAGGGTTCAGAATGCTCTTTGATTGTAGCTGGACTATAAATCCCTGCAACTACAACTCCCAAATGCCAAGGTCTATTTCCTTCAAACTCCACCAGTGTTAACTTTTGGGTATATTGGGTTCACATTTTGGCATTATTGAGTATTCATGCCAAGTTTGGTCCAGATCCATCATTGTTTGAATCCACAGTGCTCTCCGGATGTAGGTAAATTACAACTCCCAAACTCAAGGTCAATGCCCACCAAACCCTTCCAGTTTTTTTTCCTGTTGGTCATTGAGGTTCTAAGTGCTAGGTTCGGTCCAATTCCATCATTGATGGATTTCAGAATGCTCCTTGATTATAGGTGAACTATAAATCCCAGCAACTACAACTCCCAAATGACAAAATCAACCCCCTCCAACTCCACCAGTATTCAAATTTGTGTGTGTTGGATATTTGTGCCAAATTTGGTCCAGTGACTACATCAGATCTTATTATTACAATTGATAACAGTAGCAAAATTACATTGTCGAAGGCTTTCATGGCCAGAATCACTGGATTGTTGTAGGTTTTTCCGGGCTATATGGCCATGTTCTAGAGCATGGCCATATAGCCCGGAAAAACCTACAACAACCCAGCAAAATTACAGTTATGAAGTAGCAACAAAAATGATTTTATGTTTGCGGGTCACCACAACATGAGGAACTGTATTAAGGGGTCGCGGCATTGGGAAGGTTGAGAAACACTGATGTAGATGTATCTTGTACAGTGGACTTCTCCTGAGATGGGAGAATTTATAATGACTGTTGGTTTTACTGACAGCGCTATAGACTGAAATAAATGTTGTTGTTGTTGCATCATGGTGGAAAAAGATGCGCTTGGGATTTAGACATCCTGCCATTGCAACACTGACCCACTCTGATGCAAATCCTTCAGATGAATATCATGGCCAAGGAAAGGCTGAGAGTGGTCAATATCTGGCAATTAAAGAGGAACCTACAACTTTGGAGAGGCGGCAGCAGTTTGCTTTTGCCTGAGTGGACTGGGAATGGCAATACTCTCTCCCTTCTATCTCCTCTTTCTTTGTTGAGTCAATTGAGGCTGGATCTGACCTGCCATTTGATTTAGTTTCCACATGACTCACTTGCAATCTTCCACCAGCTCTTTCTGGAGCCTCTTCCAAGCAACCTCCACAAGGGAGTCATTGGGAACGCGGATGGCTTTGAGAGCATCCGTGTTCTTCTTCTGTTAGGGAACAAAGCATACCTTTACGTTCAATATCCTATCATTCTCTATAGACATTCCTGGTCCTGGATGTTGATTACCTCTTGCAAGGAAGGTCTGGAGAACAAACAACGAGAAGATGCCCCTAAACCTGTACAAAGTTTTGCTAAGTGAGAAGCAGCCTGTCTAACCTCTCACTTGGCGATGCATGGCCCCAAACAAGAGTGCTTCCCATAATTCCTTTGATTACTTGTGGATTATCCAAAATACCCTCTAGGAATCTTTACATTCTTCAGCACAACTGATATTGACCATGGAGTTATCCCAGAGGACATAGAAGTTCCCTTTTCTAGGCATTTGTAGATGTTTCTGTTTGATTCTATGGCCAACCTCTGCTAGAAGTTGAACATAGAGTTACACTGGGGAATCTAGACATTCCTGGCAAGGCATTCTCCCTGGCAAAATAAAAATATAAATACATCTTTAAAGTAAATGTCTTTAAAATGTGCACCCTTGCTACTTTTTGAGGGTCTTGTGCCCCTGACCCTTGAAAAGGTGTATATTTTATGATATGATTTAATGGACAGGAAGGTGAACTAACAATGCCATGTGGCAGTAAAAAAAAGCCAATGGGATTTTGGTCTGCATTAATAGGAGCCTGGTGCTTAGATCCAGGGAAGTCCTGCTACCCATGTTCTATTTTGCCTTAGTCAGACCACACCAGGAATCACACTGTGTCTGGTTCTGGGAACTGCAATTGAAGGAAGATGTTGACTCTAAGCTGGAAGGTGTCCAGAGGAGGAGGACTCAAAGGACCAAGGGTCTGGAGAACAAGCCCTATGAGGAGCAGCTTAAAGAGCTGGATATAGTTAGCCTGCAGAAGAGAAGGCTGAGAGGAGACATGATGAGGGCCATTTATAAATATGTGTGGGGGAAATCATAGGAAGGTGGGAGCAAGTTTGTTTTCTGCTGCCCTGGAGACTAGGACGTGGAAGAATGGCTTCAAACTACAGGATAGGAGATTCCACCTGAACATGAGGAAGAACTTCCTGACTGGGAGAGCTGTTCAGCAGTGGAACTCTCTGCCCCAGAATGTGGTGGACGCTCTTTCTTTGGAGGCTCTTAAGCAGAGGCTGGATGGCCATCTGTCTGGGGTGCTTTGAATGAGATTTTCCTGCTTCTTGGTAGGGGGTTGGACTGGATGCCCATGGGGTGTCTTCCAACTCTATGGTTCTATGATTCTATAAAAAGTTAAAGTACATAATTTTGCATGTTTTTATTTATTGGAGCTTTAATAGATATAATTTAAAATGCTTGTTCTCCGCTTCTGGGAAAAGGCCGGATATAAACAAACAACTAAACAAACATAGCAATAACACTAAGATACTTATTCCCTCTCTGAGCTTACCAGTCTTGTATGAATGAATTGCATGGCGTTCATACAAGCCATTCGGTGACCAACATCCTCCCAAAATGACGTGATGGCCACCATGGGCTTGGTGTCATACCATGGCAGGTAATAATAGCGGTTACCTGGAAGGAAATAGCCTAGCTCTGATTCTTGTTGTTATTGTTGTGTGTCCTCAAGTCATTTCCTTCTTGGCTTCTTGGCCAGATTTGTTCCAAAGAGCTATGTGATCGATGTTCTCTGCCCAGGGTTTTATGGCCAATTGAGAACTTGCCCTTTGGAATTATAGCCAAATACCCATGCTAGATATATGCTATCTTTGCAAGGGATATCCAGGGATATATGAAGCCAGTTCATACTGGGGATCCATTCACATATAGTCTAGGCCAGTGGTTCTCAACCTGGGGCCCCAGATGTTTTTGGCCTTCAACTCCCAGAAATCCTAAGAGCAGGTAAACTGGCTGGGATTTCTGGGAGTTGTAGGCCAAAAACATCTGGGGACTGTAGGTTAAGAACTACTGGTCTGGGCTGAGCTTTAGCACAGTGGCTTAAACCGCCAGCTGCAGAAAATCTTGATGATTGAAAGGTCAACAGTTCAAGCTGGGCTTGGGGTGAGCTCCCAACAGTCAACCCAGCTTCTGCTCACCTAGCAGTTCGAAAACAGTAATGTGAGTAAATAGGTAGGGAGGTAATAAAAGGCGCCCATGCGGATATGCCGGCGATTCAATCGGGAGAGCATCTAAAGACAACTAAGCTCCTTGGCATGGAAGATGGAGCAACAGCACCCCCTGTGACCAGAGTCGAGCACAGCCAGAGATGCCAGAGATGGAAAAAGATTATTATATCGTGATACAATATGATTTATGATTTATGGTTTCACTTTAATTGGTATAATTCCATCAAATGGAGAGACTTTGGAATCATCAGCCAGAGAATTCTAGTGTATCATAACTGGGTTTGTGTGACTCGGTAAAAAGCCATGCTGTTTTAAGTCTTGTTTTTGGCTGCTCTCCTGTTTATCACAAAGTTTCCAAAATCAGGAAGGGCTTTTGTTTTTGTTCTGGTAAGATTTGGTCCACTGGTGCCAATGGGGAGGCTTTAGAGTAGTGGTTCCTAACCTGTGGTCCATGGACCACCAGTGGTCCTCAAGAACTAAAACATGGTTTGCAACTTCACCATTACTACACTGTTGCAACAAGAGCAATTGGTCTCATGAAACCCAACACAGATGTCAGGAGGGGAAAGGCTGACTGCCCACAAAAGGCGCAAGAATAAGCCTCCTGACTGCTTCTTCTCCTCCTCCTCCCTCTATGTGGTGCTTGGAGTGGGGGTGTCTTCGTGTCTTCATTTTTAGGCCTGTACCTGGGGTTATTTGGGTACTGATTCAGAAAATTGCACTGGATAGACCACATCAGCTCTAGATTATTAAATGTGGCTTTCTGTGGGTGAGCAGATGGCGACTACTGGATGGCTTAGGTTCTGTATCAGAAACTAGAGTTCATGTAGTCTATCCAATGCAATTTTCTGAATTAGCACCCCAAATAACCAAACCAAAATCTAAGATTGACCAAAAACTGATTTGTAACTCTTTTGGTATTAATATTGGAGAGTGGGCCCTGGTAAAAAAAAAAAAATTGGGAACCACAGCTTTAGAGGCTTGTTTCGCTGTGATTTTAAGATCTAGCTCCTACTAGCCAAAAAGATCCGGCTGCTGTGATCCATATTGGCTAAAGTTTCGGATGCCCCCTGCCAGGCCCATTTTCATGGATTCAGAAACCAAATCCCCTGACTCCGGTACACCAGAACGATACTGTGCACACCTGTAAATAATTATAAATCCCTGTACTCTATGATACGAGGGGTATTTTTTAAGTAAGGTCCGTTTTGTTGTAGACACTAGTAGTTCGCGCATACCGCAACGAGCGTGTGCGTCGTGTACCGGCATGCCTCGGGAACAACTGTGCTCAGTTTCCACTCTGTAGCTAACCTGTACAGTTCTGTTCTGTGCTTTAAAAATGTTTAAGACTATCAACTCACCCGCTGATGAATTTCTGCAGCAGGCAGGTTCCTTGCTGACAAAAACCGTATCACTGAGCGAACCTCACATGCGGCGCGTGAGTTGATAGTCTTAAACATTTTTAAAGCACAGAACAGAACCGCACAGGTTAGCTACAGAGCGGAAACTGAGCACAGTTGTTACCGAGGCATGCCGGTACACGACGCACACGCTCGTTGCGGTATGTGCGCGAACTACTAGTGTCTACAACAAAATGGACCTTACTTTAAAAATACCCCTCGTATTTACATATGAAATTATAGTGTTATGATGTGGGATGTGAACGGACAGCTGCAGTAATGCATCAATATATATTGGGCAATGTCCCAGTCACTTGCAGATGTTGTACTGTGCACTGAGGCAATAGTTGCACTCGTTCAACATTTCTCATAGGTTGCATTACAACGGCATTCAATGTAGAGAAGCCATGTAGGACCTCAAGCCATATAGGACCTCAGCCATTGCTTCCAACTCACTGGGTTTTCTACCCCAATTCCTTACCATCGAACACGGCATGGCAGTACTGAGTGGTGGAGGCAAAGGGTTTGCATGTCCCGTCAAATTTGTTGCCGTAGTTCCCAATGCTGACCTCGAATTGGATTTGTTCCTTGATGTCGGCCAACATGGTGGCGGAGTAAAAGACGACACACAGCCCGTACCGGACCTGGGGCAAGAAGCGCTGCGAGGCCAAAGAATCATTGTGAGTGAAGATACAGAGGCCAAAATTAATTTTAATCCCCCCATTTAAAGGGCAACGAATGCAACGAATGTAGCACGATTTTTGTTCCTTGGTTATAAATGTCATTTCCAAATTTATAATAAAAACAGGGGAAAAGTTTATTAAACTGCCAAAGGCAGGACATCCTGCAGCATATTTTGCTATAGCTTTCCAATGAATATCTCATTGATTCTCAACCAATTCAACCTAGTTTGTGGCAGCTACAAAAACATTTCTAGAGTAGAAGAACTACTTTCAAAGTAAGGACCACACAATTAAACAGGAAATAACATTTTCAAACCAGGAACAGATGGAGCAGGTTTGGAGAAATGAAGGGAAAGGTCAGAGAGTGACCATTAAGGCCAAAGGAGTGAATGGGGTTCTTCTCAAAACAACCATAAGAAAATGTATACGCAAAGTAAGAACGAAATTTACAAGGACATGTAAACTGTAAGGAAGAAATGACATGAATGTAGTTAGGAAATGCAAGTTGTCAAAAGCGGCCTGACATCAGGGGAGATGCCAATCCATGGGTGCATCTACACTGCAGAATCAATGCAGTTTGGCCCCACTTGAACTGTCATGGCTCAAGGTTATGGAGTCCTGGGAGATGTAGTTTCACAAGGTCTTTAATCCTCTCTCAGCATTCCATAGCATTGAATTGTGGCACTTCAAGTGGGGTCAAACTACATTCACAGTGTAGATGAACCCAAGTTTTGGATATTTTAAAGGTGCTCTCCGAAGTGCTAAACCCGAGAAAAAGGCCAGGAGAGTAATATGAATTACAGTAAACAGTTGCTCCATATTGCCTGGATGGCAATATGGAGTGACGGTTTAATTCAGGGGTCCCCAAACTACGGCCCGTGGGCCACTTCCGGCCCGCCAAGGGCCCGTATCTGGCCCGCAGAGGAGGAGCGCCCCCTCCCACACACACAGTGCCCCTCCGTTGGCTGGCTCACGCTATCCATCAGGCCCGATGGGCAGCATGAGCCAGCCAAGGGAGGCTACCCCGGTGCTCCATGCAGTCATGCTGGCCACATGACCTTGGAGGTGTCTATGGACAACGCCGGCTCTTCGACTTAGAAATGCAGATGAGCACCACACCCCAGAGTCAGACACGACTGGACTTCATGTCAGAGGAAAACCTTTAACCAGGAAAATTGTGGAAGATCCAGGGTGGGAGAAAGAACTCTTGTTTGTTGGAGGTAGGTATGAATGTTTCAAATTGCCACCTTGATTGCCATTTCATAGCCTGACAGTTTTTAGGGAGAATCCTTTGTTGAGAGGTGATTAGCTGGCCCTGATTGTTTCTTGTCTGGAGTTCCCCTGTGTTTGAGTGTTGTTCTTTATTTACAGTTATAATTTTAGAGTTTTTTAAATACTGGTAGCCAGATTTTGTTCAAACTATATGCCGCCCTTCTCATCCCGAAGGGGACTCAGAGCGGCTTACAAGGTATATATACATACAATATATTATTAACAGTACAATATCAGTTTTAAATATTGCTATATTGCACTATATCAATTATACTGTAATATTATTAGTAATATTACATGTAATATAAATATATAATTATAATATCATATTATTATTAGTAGTATTATACTGCATTACATTACAATATTATAAATATTATATGTATATACAATATATTATATATTATAACATTATTAGAATAGCACAGGAGACAAGGTGGAACTGTCCCCTGGTCACCCTTTCTTCACTCCGGCCCAGAGCAGCAGTTGGTGCTGGGGGGAGGGGTCCCCAACGGATGGCAAGTGCAGGAGACAAGATGGTGCTGTTCCCTAGCCCTCCTCTCTTCGCTCTGGCCCAGAGTGACAGTTGGTGCTGGGTGGAGCCCGAATTTTGTTCAGATACGAATAGGTCGCTTTACATTTTTGCTCTGGAATTATGCCTAAAGAGGGCTTCTAAAGAACCCCTTAATGGCCCTTCACAAGCACCATAAGAACTGGCAAGTTCATAGAATTTTTAATGATTTTTTTTTTTACAAAACCACCCAAAGTTAACCCAACAGTCTGCGGGACAGTGAACTGGCCCGCGGTTTTTAACAAAGTTTGATGACCTGCGTTAATGCATCCTCCCTCCAGGCTTGTATCTTTGCTGTTGTTGTTTCCCTCAACGAATCCTTCTTGGACCCACCTGAATTTTCTTATCCCCCGTATTTGTGTGGCACTTTGCCTCCTAGCTCTTGTTTTGCTTTTGTTTTTATTGTCTGCTACCTTTCGGGGTTCTCAAATCCTGTCCCCTGCGTTGCTATTAACTTTGTTTTCAGTCCTCACCCGATCCCCCTGTGGCGCAAAGTTTCCACCCTTTGCTTCCTGTATCTCTCTTCCATGCGCGCCTGTTCTCATTTTTTTGGCGCTGCTGATGCCTTTCATTCCTTCTCCTGCTCCCTCATTTCCTTATCCCCCCTTCTTTAACCTCTCCCCCCCTTTATGCTCCCCTTTCCCTATCTTCCCATCCCACCCTCCACCCCTATAAGCGACTTCTGTCAATTTTTAGTCCTCCCTGTCAACCATTCCTACTCTTTACACTTTTACTCTTCTTCCATTTTG